TATATATATATGAATTATTATTGTTGTCAATTGTTAATGTTATATGCGAATAATTACTCATTATTTACATAGATGTCTTGTTCACCATGTATAACTGAATGCTGGCCATGTGCTTCATAACCTAAACCAAAGCACTTTTACATGTTTTTTTTTTTTCGATGAGAATGTTTTGCTCTTCTCTCTTGGGAAAGTATGCATTATTGTTTTAATTGTGATTGTTTATATTAATTATGTATATTTTTCCTTAATAAATAGGCCCTGATGATGGCAACATAATGTTGCCGAAAGCTTGGCGATTCCAACACTTTTGTCTTTCTTTCACCTAGTAAAGATCTTAAAGAAACTCTACATTAAAATAGCTAACTTTCACGGCGCTACGACTATGCTAAACCTTCAGGACAGGAAATTCTTTCACAAATGACAATTAATTAAGGTTTTTCATCTTAACTAAAAACCTTAATTAATTGTCATGTATTAATGGTGAAGCGGACCACGAAAGTAGTGAATTAATCTTTCACAAATGTTGAACCCAACGCCGTTCTAACACGGCCGACTGTACATTGATTATCTGCAGGTCCATCTACAAACATCATTTCTTCAGTTAGCTATTATTTTAATTTTTCATCGTGTAATTTTCAATACTTGGAAGTTTTTATCACTTTCTAAACAATGCTTGGGTATTGCGTAAATCAGCATATTATACAAGGTGAAAAAAACAAAAAAACTATCTCATACAGATTAAAAATGAAACAATGAATTCTGATAATGATATAGGGTCTGTCAACATGATATTTTGTTGCATCTATCATTTAATTTACGGGTTATGTCGAAATATGTATATAATTAGACAGCCCACAGCCTTCTATATAAAATTACCTCTTATAGACCCGGCAATACCGGTGTCACGTTGCATCAGAGGATTAGGTAAAACATTCTGGGACGAATCTTCTTGAGTTTCCACAGTAAATCCTGACATGATTTAAAACGAAAAATTCCCCTTGACTTGTTACTAAACTTTGAATCTCTAGCTCGTTTCCACTTGCAATTCAAATCAAGCAAACAGCAGTGCAATAATTTTCAGAAAAGTTGTTATCCTCAAAATTTGCTCTATATATAAACAAAAACTTTTAGGATCTTTATTGGCTTGCTTACAATTTATTGTATATTTCTGACTAATTTGATGGTAACGATTAACAAATTATGGTAGATTATATAGCGAATTACAAAGTGAATGTATATCATATATCTTAAATTTAAATGTCTGTTGCAAATATAATGGCACCCATATTGTCTGTGTATTTATTATTAAGAAAGAAAGTTTCAAGTTTCAAAGCCAGCAAGTGTGATCACTGAATAGTAAATTAAACAGTTTTTGCAAAAGATAAAAATTATATTGTTGGTTAGAACTTGAAAGGTGGAGATTGTCAGAGAGCGTGTTTTCAGAATAACAAAATTGTTTTAATTAGCAGATGCCTTGTGGCCTATTCTATAAAGAAAAGGCTGGAGAATTAATTAGACGGGGTAAAGTTCCTTTATTAACCCAGTATATCCTGAGTAATCCGGAGAGAGTATGTTTTTTGGCTTGTAAAGTCCCTCTCGAGCAGACACTTACCAGCTATGAAAACGAGATTACGCAATGGACGGGCATTAGCGCCAGGCCACACCTAATTATTTACACTACAAATTTAATATCCATCCCTCCTTTTCCCGAGAGATAATTTCTTAGAGCTGAGGGTTTTATGCTTTATTCCTGCAAAATGGCCGACCTCAATCAGCAACAAAAGCTTCTGGCTCGCAAATTACTGTCTAACTTTTTCCACTGGATGGGATGGAAGACAATTAATGACTCTTTTTCATATAAAAAAAGGAAAGGATATTATCAATTTCACGCGGTTGAGAATTAAACGTCATGTATAACAGTTGAAATTTGTTTTACATTGCAACATAAACTAAATAATATTTACTTTAAAGTGAACCCAGACAAAAAGAGCTTAAAATATAAAACAACCACATGCTATAAATTCGTAGGAATTTTGCCTATTTGTTTATTAACGTTGTAAAGATTTAAATTTTTAAATTTTAAAGAAACAAACACACAAGAAAAATTATTCTAGGGCGAATCGATTTTCACGAGTGCGTCTTTTATCGAGATGTTGACGGATTCCGTGTAGGCGCTGTCGGAATACTGAGTGCTGCCGGGGCAGGCACGGGGAACGGGCCCTGAAAAATTAAATTGGAACATCTTTGCGGTCGTACCGCCTCAGAACAATTGTTATAAATATGTAACAACCCCCCTTCTATCTTTGCTGATTCGCTGATGTACAACGGCATCTTACCAGTTACAACCGTAGAACGATAACAACCATTAGACTAATTGTTATCACTTGCTGTTGGGACTTCTTGAGCTTTAATCCACTACCGAAGTCCTTGAACTACTGATGACTAAACTCCTTCTTGGAGTATGAGATCAGATTACGTGATACATAATCGTTGCAAATAATAATAATATAAACTTTAACCCCTTTCTTCGTTAACAACGCCACCGTAAATTATTATCAATTAATTTCAGAAGTTATCAGATTAAAAGGAAATAGAAATAATTTATAAATATTTTTGTTGAACTTTTAAGAAGAAAGGTATATTTTTTTTTAGTAATATTATTATTTTTATTTGTAAATCTTTATATATATACATATACATACACACACACATATATATATATATCGGGTTGTCCGGAAAATAATGCAGGATTTTAAGTTTTCATTAAAAAAAATCTATATAAAATATTCTGTTTACGTTTNATGGGAAATTATTTTGATTAAAGAACATTGCTTTAAAGTAACTAGTTTCTTTTTTTTTGTTTAATACCAAAATCCTGCATTATTTTCCGGACAACCCAATATATAAATATATTGAGAAAAATCGTAATATATATACATAGAGGGAAAGAGAGAGTGTGAGAGTGGGGATATATATATATATATTTTTTTTTTAAGAAAAAAAACGTAATGATAATTTACGGTGGCCGCAACGGTTTAGGTGTTGACACGGCTCTCATCACTGTAAGGTGAAGGTCCCGGGTTCGAATCCAGCGGCCCTGCATTCGAACCCGACATAGTTACAAATGGGCTTTTTTTCAAAAACGCCGCACCTTGAGGGTTAATATGACCCCTGCTGTTGCCAATATAATTTTATTCGTCTATTTTATTTATTTCAACTTTCTATTGGTTAGTTTTGTAATTAATTATACATTCGTTAAAGAATCAGGAAATCAATTCCAATTCATTTCGGCTTTCTCGCTTGTAATAATCGTCCTCAGTTTTTTGTAAAATATTTGGCTGTCTTTGTATTAAAAAAAACCAATATTTTATTTATTTTTTTATTTTTCGCCTTAACAGTCATCTCGTTTATAAACACGTAAGTTTCAGCAGGAACTTGTATCTCACAATGCCTGTGCCTGTGTATTTCGAAATAAATTTTTTTTTGTCGTTTTCCTAGTCAAATCTTTTATATGGAAATCACTGTGTACACACACTTTTGGAATCTGTATGTATGAGTTCTGGATATACCATCACATCCTACACCAACGTTCCCGTTAATAGATACATTCGCCCAGAGTATGAATTTGTTAACCTAGGCATGATCGGCGACCACATATGTTTATCTTCAGGTGTCTATGGGTCGACCATTTGTGGCCTATGCACAAAGGAGTTTATGCGATCCTTTCTTACTTTTTAATTATTGAAAATTACCTGATTTAAGAAGTAAAATTAATAAAGTATACTTTTAACGTTTTGTATATTTTTTAAGAGTATTTCATTGGTATTTTTATAAAAATTTGCGATTGTACAAATAAAAAACAAGTATTGTGTCAAGAAATTAGGCAGACTAATATGCTTCAGTTTACGTCCTAAATGTGTTGTCCCCCTTATATCTTTTCATAGTGCCCCAGCAGCTTAAGTTTTCGGGTGACATATCATTTCCTTTTTACTATAATCTTTTTTATGTTGAACGCTCAGGACGGGTATGAACCAACGACATAATGGCGTATGTTTATTAAGCGAATTCAACGAACTTTTAATTCCGTGAGGTCCTTCGTCCGGCGTTTTCGTTGAGTTTGTTTGACAAATATTTCGGAACTACAGACGACACCTGCTGTATGCCAATGTTCGGAGGAGGAGCGTTTTCATCTTTGTTCAGTCTGTACAGGCTCGCGCTTCTCTGTTCGTTTCTAGACGGCTCCAGCTGTCTCGACCCACGTCTGCCTTGATTTCCCTGTTGAAGAGTTGTGTTGCTCTCACCGGGCGTTCTTTTCTGATCGCTCTGCGTATTGAAAGGTTGGGCTATAAAAAAGTCTAATAAAAAACACAAACCTGTTCTCATTTCAGTTTTTTCCTACTTACATAGTTCGTTCGAGTGAGCTAGTTCTTCAGGAGGTATGCTCATATGGCGAAAACGTGTCATTAGTAAGTGATGGAATTTTTTCTTCAAGTCTGTAAAACAGAAATTTTTTAAATCATGGTTTTAAAATGAAATCTATATGGTTTATACCTATTGCAGGGTTGTGAGCGACACATAAGTTGCATAATTCTGACCCTTCGCAAACCTTTATCCACCTTTCTATTAGCTTGAATAGTTCAAAGTCTCGTATGCTAAGGGCCGGCTGGTTCAGCAGGATGATCAGCGATTGGACATCGAATCTCGTTATGTTTTCACTATTCACAACTTGTTTCGTGTCGTTCTGAATCAACTGAAATCAAAATCAAAAGTTAATTGTGTTGAAGTTCTTTTTTTCTTAAAACCAACTACCGTCAAACAACGCAGTTTTAATTCTTCCATCCCATGTACATCAGCAAACATGTAACAGGGCATGACGTTCGACGGGTCGAGATGTCCCACGATGTAAGCATAGCAGAGTTCTGCTAGGTCAGGTGCGTTGAATTTGTCGGCGATTCTGAAAATTTCGATCGCCTGGGCTGTTGAACTGAGTGCCACTGTTGAAGTGTACAAATACCTAGATTTAAAAAAATAAATATTCCAGTTGTCTTTTAAATGTGTTCATTAAGATTTTTTTTATGACTGCCCATACTTGATATAATGGCCAAACGCTTCTTCATCCACGTTTGTGAATATGATTGCCGGGTCTTTATTTTTCAGGCAAACCTCCGTGTTCATTATCGTTTCTAAAACTTGACTTGACATTTTCAGGACAAACTTATGTGCTGAAAAATGCTGGAAAACCAATTTTTACCATACAATACTCGTATACTTATTTAAAAGAGTCATTCACGGACTACTTCAAAGATTTAAAAAAACAATTTATTGCTATCTGTAGAATATAAATATACATTGGGCTAATAGTATTAGATAATTATATACCAATCTGACAGACCAGGAGGGCAGAGGGGAGAGAAGCCAACCACCGATGGAACTCTGGTTTATTTAGTTAGGATTGTTAAGGTAGGAGGTCACAATCCATTCGTATTTTTAAAGGGAACGATTTTGGGCTTAGGGTGGAGGGATAGTTTAGAGTGGAAATTGATGAAGCAAGTTTGGCTAAGGCGGAAAACTTTGGATTGAAAGGAATGAATTAGTTGGATGCTGGAGGATGTCGAGTCCTACAATTCCACTAAATAAGTCAAAGTACGTCTGATGAGTGGTTTGTAAGCAGTTAGTTTTTTATGTATTTTAGTGTTTATTGATTTTAGTGCTAGTAGATCTCTGAGTTGTCCATATCTTTTATTATGTCTTTGTCATTTTAATATTGTATGGTTTTCCAGTCCGCGATCTAAGTTAAACCCAAGTTAGCGGAGTTGGTTGGATGAAGGTATGTTTTTTTATGTAGTGATGGTCAGAACTGACGTTTGACGTAAACATCAGTTCTGATCCTCCGGTCGTTAGGATATAGGCACTGTATAGGTTGTGAATTATGTGTTTGGATGTGTACATAAGTCAGTAGTATATGTAGTGTAGAGGATTGTACCCAGGAAGCTTTCTTGTGTAACTCCAGCTTTGATTGGCGTGATGGGTGAAAATTGATGCTGATTATCACTTTAAACCATGGATCCGAGAGGAAGCACTTCAGGATGTAGTGTAAGGAAAGATACATTTTTACTAGCAAACGTCGAATGCTTCTGTAACGTCAACAAAAACGGCAGAGCAATATAGTTTGGTTTTAAGAGCCGAGGATATCGTATCGAATACTCTGAAGCCCTGTTGAAAAGTACAATGGAGTGGTCGAACTACAAATTAATAGTAATAATAAGGTGAATTAGCCTTTGAAGAAGGGAGTCGTTTAAAGATTTTGACAAATAGGACATAGGGTTCTGCAACTTCATAGATAAAATGAATAAAAAATTAAAAGCTAACAAAATTGGCTACAAATAATTTGTTTTAATAGATAAAACATTATTCTTAGTTGTTCGTTATTACAATTTTTTTATGTAGACATTATTTGCCTTTCTAATTCGAGTTGTTCCATAAGTTATTTTATTTTCATGTCATACATTTTATTTACTACGTAGATGCTTTAATACGTCTTCCATTTTTGTTTTATGTTTTTCCTATCTCATATGATCTAAATAAAATATATGACTTGTAAATGGTACAGGATCGCCGAAACGATGTTAAATCCAGAATTATATATTTTTTCTAACATCTTCAAATAATAAAACTTAACAGTCTCTGTCTTTAATTTTTCGGTTGTAAAATCTTTGGTAATAGATGTATCTTTGAATAATTAAATCATGTTTTATTTATTTTTGGAGTCATATTATTATTTAGTCAATCTTCCTAAATCGTCTTGGTACTATCAATTAAATTTGTGTTTTTGCTCGCTTTTTGTTTGTTGTAATAGTCAATCAAAAGTTTTTGATTATTTTTTGTTTCGATTATATTACAGTTTAAATAAACACAAAATTGATTTGACAAACAAACCGTTTCTTTGTCGTCGTTTTTAACTTTGAGGACTACATCAGATCCGTACTTGGTCTTGTAGAGAATGGACATCCTCTCGTTCCACGTTTTGCAACCCCGTCGCCATTCTGACGCAGAAAAGCTGGTGAGGATGTTTTCCGATTAAAATTGGGAAAATAAAAGCTAATTGCAGTAACAAATCGTGTACGAACCTTCCTTTAAGAGAGAATCTCGCCGGTTTGTACATCTGGAAATAAATGGAGAGTTAACTTGACGGAAAAAGAAAAAATAACTCATTTTTGATGCATTTAATCTATAATAACTCAGGGGGAGATGTTTTCTATTTCTATATTGAAAACCAGGGATGAATCTAGTTTGAAAGAAAATGTCAGTTCTTTCGTTGAGCTTTCACTGATTATAGCCATTTTATCAAGAATTAAAAACTAATAATTTCCAAGGTGCACAAAAATGAGTATCTATTTACAATATTAATAAATAAATTAAGTGAATTTACAATGACAAAAAGATGTGCGGGAGAGAGAGAGAGAGAGAGAGAGAGAGAGAGAGAGAGAGAGAGAGAGAGAGAGAGAGGAGAGAGAGCGTGTGTGGTTCAAAGACAACGAGACAGGGTGAGACGGCGAGAGAAAGAAAGGGAAATTTGCATAAACATTTTGAGATTAAATAATAGTAAATAAGTCCGCGTTGATTTATGTATAGCCGATAATTTTTTGGTTATGAATAAAAAGATTATTTTTATATTTGCTATTACGCCATGTACATAAGAATTTACTTAAATAAGTAAAAATAAACTATTTTTATTAATTGTAACTTTTTATCTAAGTCTTGGTTGAGATAAAAAGTATAATTAATTGAAATAATTAAATAGTTGAATTATGACCGCAAAACAGATAAGGATTAATGCGGATTGTGCCATTTCATGGACTTGCTTCATTAAACCTTCATTAAAACATATGTTAGAATCAAACTTTTGAAGAGAACACAATTATTCTTAAATCATTATTGTTTTTGTATACGTTAGATTGATAGTGTTTTGTGTATTGTTGCTTAAATCATTAGTGGAAAGGACTCACGTTGTCGTGTTAGCTTCGAACCGCTTAAATCAAGAGGGGGAAATTTAGTGGAGGCTTGTTTACATTTTCAAAGACACTTCATTGTCAGTTCTTCCCTTCTACGCTGTGCTGGATGACGCAGGAACACTCTGACATCCTGGGGTCGATTTTGATGTCCGAGAACTAAAAAAGGATGCCCACAGTAGGTTTACTTGCTACTGAAACATTTGTAGAAATAATCACATTTCTTTTTCAACCTGGGGATTGATTGATCAGTTTTTTATCAGGTCGTGCGAGACTTGTATAAGAAAGCTATAAGTGTTTTATTTTTGATTGGTAATGTAATTTGAGATATGTACGAGAGTTAATGAAAAAGACAGGTTTTTTGTGTAGAAAATAATGTATTTTCTAGGTCATCAGTTTTTAAATTCCTATCAAATATCTATAATTATGTTTTCTGAATTCATTATATTTTTCAAGTAGTTTCTCTTTAATGTGATATTTTGGTATGCTGATGGGTGTATGTTAAAAACGGTGATACGATTATTTATATTATCAACCATTTTATGAACAAAAATTGGAAAGCCATATGATTAAATTACAGAAAAAGATAAAAATGCTTATGCAATTTTTTTCTTATTTTTATTTTTTCATTTGTAAAATTTTCAGTTTATTTCTTAGGGTTATCCTTTCCTCATACGATCACGTTGCTTCGACGCTTTTCCTTTCCTCTGACTTTTCTCGGTGAATTGATTCCTTCTTTTCTTTGCTTTTCGAACGACTTTTCCGGTCGCCCACCTCCTTCAGAAGATTTCTGACGTTTTTGCTGAAACCCTCCGGGTAGTCCAAATGGCAGTTTTCGTCGGCGACGATGTGCCCCAAAATCGCCAACGACTGATTCTTCGTCAGAAGACCGGATTTGACAGGACCTGCCACAAACTCTTCGCCTTTAAAATTCATGAAACAGAACTTCGGGAGGAGGCACGCCTGCGCTTTGCTCTTCGCACCTAAAACCAAAAGTTAAAAAAAAAAAAAAAAAAAATGTCAAGGTATACTAACACTCGTTTTCGGCGTTGCAATTGTTCAACCAGACAGTGATCATTCTGAACAATTCTGGTTCAGGTATACTTAAAGCTGGTTGGTCCAATACAAGCATCAGCCACTCTATTTTCCACGTATGGCTGTTGGATTCGTTCAAAATCGTGCCTGTGTTGTGTTGTATTATCTAAAAAATCAAAGATGTTTATAACGAAACAACTTGATAAAAAGTTCCATTTACTTCAACGCATCGCTGTTTCAATCCTTCAAGTCTGTAAGCATCCGCGAACTCCACACACTCCATAACGTTCTCTATGCTGAAGTGTTCATCGAGGTAATTCACGCACGTATTTTTCAGCTCGGTAATATTGAACTTATCCGCAATCTTGTATACGCCTATTGCCTCTTTTATGCTCTTAAACTGCAACGTCTTGCAATAAATGTACCTAATGATACAAATGAATTATTTTTTTCCAAATAAACATTAGTGTTTATAACTTACTCTAAGAAAAGTCCAAAAGCTGCCGCGTTTACGTTCATCAACATCAAAACTGCATCACCTGGGTTTTTGAAAACCGGAGCTTTCAGCATCGCGTCAAACACTTCGCTGGACATGCTCAGTACGAATCGATGAGCCTTGAAAGACTGAAAATAAAAGAATATTTTAGGTCAAAAATAATACCTCATATATATTAGTGACTAACTGTTTCATTTTTATCTTCGCATATTTTTATGGTTATGTCGGAACCATAATTGCATCTAAAGATATGCATCATCTTTTCTTCCCAGGTTTGGTTGGTATTCCTCCAATCATCACTTCTTGGATTTGGAAAAAATATATGTGACAATGATTATATCACTAGTAAACTACAAAATTATGACTGCAAAAGTTCTTCGAGAACCTTAGAGAGAACTTTAAGAAAAAGTATGACTATTATTAAACAGGTTTGCGTACATCATAGGTAAAAATAAGGAAGGAAAATAGTGACTCAATTTTAAATTACACAATTTAAAATTATAATTAATGTGTCAGACTGTTGGCTCGTATACCTCGCGGTGGTGTTTATATGTTTCTAACTGCCAAAGAGTTGACTATTATTATGAATCTCCAAAACGAAAAGTTAGACTATCTAGAAATAGACAATACTACGGCTTTTAAAAACACTGCTTGAATTGACTATTCCTACAAATTCACTTATGTAAACAGAGACCTTAAAGAAAACAGTATAATTAACTAATATAAACGAAGTGGGAATTAACTAAGAACTGACTTTTTCGACAGACATACCAATGGAAAAAATACCCGCTCCTAAGACAGCGCTAAAACTTTAATGGATGTAGTATTATTAAATCTTGCACTACTAAAAAGAAAAGTAAATTATCCATAAATAGTCTCTTCCCCAAAGTCGCTAGTATAAACAAGATGAGAATATTTCAAGAATTGACTATTTCTACTAGTCACATTATTATTCCTACAAAGTGACTAATGTAAACAAGGTTAGAATTATCTATGAATTGACTATTCACCTAGACACTACTGTAAACATTGTTAGAATTACCTAAGAATTGACTTTTCCTGCAAACACACATATAGAAGTAATATAGTTTATAAAAAAAACCGCCCACAAACTTTTTCGTAACTGCACCAATTAATTGACAAATTTATCAAACAAACACTGCTTTTTACAAGGTTGTAACTACCAAAACGTTGACTATTATTGCAAAGTTCCAAAACGAACAGGTTAACTAGTTAAACTTCACAACCCTACAATGACAGCTCTGAAACTTTCATCTACAAACAAAACTAAATTATCTAACATTGGGTATTCCACACAATTACTAATCAAAATTAGAATTACATAAGAAATGACTATTCGTACAAATACAGATGTAAAAAAAATATACAGAATAAAAGCCCACCACAATACATTTTTATAATTACACTAATTAAGTGGCAGATTTATTAAAGGAACGTTCCTAAAAAGAAACATTGTCCTTGCCTGTCACAGTGGCTACTATTAAAAAGATCCAAAATGAATGGGTTAACAATTTAAAACACGACGATAAGTAAACTTTAAACGCTAAAACTTTCTAAGACAAAGCTTGAATTCACTATTTTTAAATTTTTGCACTGATATAAACTAAACTAAATTATCTGAGAATTGTCTATTCGTACAAAGTCACTGAAATATACAAAATAACCATTATCTAATAATTCCTACAAAGTCACCTGCAAAAACAAAAGTCACTCCTATCTTAAGAATTTACGATAACTACAAAAACTTTCATTTGTTAAGATGCTACTTTTTTTTTGGGGGGGGGGGCTTCCGACATCTAGGTCATTTCAGCCCCCCGCTAAGTCTATATTCTATATTCTATACCCGTTCAAACTCAACATTCATACAAATAAATACATTCATACCCTTAAATACATCCATACAGTACACTCATTCCGTTTGGTCGGCGGAGTACTTGATATTCCTCCACCGACCTACACTTAAACTAAACTAGATTGTGGTCGATGGGGTACTTTTATAAATATTCCGCCATCGACCCCGAACACACACTCACTCGCTTTTATCGTTCGAGGGGCGATGATGACGTTATATTCACCCTCACCTCTCGCCATTCGCGCAAATAAATACATGCACACAGACAAAACATATAGATTAAATAGACTATTATTAAATCTCGAACTAATAAAATCGAAACTAAATTATCTATGAAAGTCTCTAAGACATTAATATAATCAAGATTATCTAAGGATTCCTACAAACACACTTGCAAAAAAAAATGTCACTCCTATCTAATAATTTACGATAGCTACAAAAGCACAGAACAAACTTTCATTCATTAAGACGCTACTTATAATGTGCAGATGAGACTATATCCAGCAAAAATTGGCAGACGTAGGGTGCTGAAAATATTAAACCTCGGTCAAGTAGTTAGTTTTCAAAATCTTCCTTACCCCACTGCCGGTTTCGGTTTAGCCATTTTGTCGACTTTCGGGCTATTCGGTCAGATCAAATTCCGCTCAGTGGTACTTGCTTTAAAACATTTGAATCCCGTTCTCATATTGCATTTTTGTAGTGGATCAACGTTTTTTTCGACCATATCGGAATGATCCTTAAGAAAATTAAACCTCCGTGAACTACATTGTGAACATAAATGGTAATGCGTTAATGATTTTCTATATCAAAAATCCATATCATTTGTTAGTAGCAGATGTTTTTGTAATTTTTTGTTTACCCTTCGCAACTTCGGTACTACAGACTCGGTTCCAAATTGTGACTTTATTCTTAGTTTTAATTTTCAACATTATAATTTTACGGTAATTTTCTTTTGAAGTATAAATACGTTTGAATATTGTAATAAAATGAGTTTTCCTTGATCTTGTAATTTAATTTTACGTTTACCAAGTAACAAAGGCTTTCTTGTCTTTATAATCCCTGCGAAACTTCAGTGGATCGGGAAAAAATTTAATTTGTATATTTTGGCAGTATTTGCCAATAAAACTCCATAGCAAAATATCTATAGATGATGAAAGAAAACATGATTTCTACAAACTATCGTCACTTATATTCCTAGAGAACTGATTAAAGGCACTTGCAGCATATTGTACATTACATTCGACGACTTCGGACCTCCAATATCTATAGATATGTATATGGTTAAATAGATAGTTTTGACATTTAAACATTTTTGCAGTTTGATACTATTTCAAGCATTTTGCAATGCAATAAATAAAAGATCCAATTAATGTAATAAAACCGCAGTAATAATATTTCAGAAGTCATTATTATGATATCTTAAGATCGGATTCTGTTTTCTCAGCCACTTTCTGTGAAAAAGTCAAATGAGGGCGGGTAGGCTTAACAAATACAAGCAAAGCTTCTAAGAAAAGGTGTGTTCAAATTGGAAAAATGTCCAATTATATTTGGAGAAAAGTTCCATTTGTTTGGAAAAATTCTATTTGGTTTGGAACTAGAATTAGAATTGCGAGACCTCCTAGGAGGCCTCTGGCCTCTCCCTGCTAGATCAGGGGGAGTCACCCACCTTGGTGCATAAGCGACTCCGAGGTTGGGGGGCGCCATCGAATTATTTGGTCATTTCGTACGTTCCCTAAAACTAGTCATTCTCACACTCACTCATACAATAAATACATACATACTACTATATACAAACCCAATCACACATGCATATCCTCTGTCTAGAATCCGGGTCGGAGGGTAGTCGATATTCCGCCCCGACCCTGTTTACCGGAGCAGCGGTGGAGCCTTGAAATAATATGCTGCACCGCCGCCCAACATACTTCTGTTCTACCAGAAACTAAATCTAAACTTAAACATATAAAATAAATACCCCTCTATATACAACCCATAATCCCAATATCTGTTAGAAACCTAAAAAGTTTGTCCTTGAATTCAGTGCCATGCTCGAGCATTCTTCTATAACCCGGCGGTATTCCAATTCGGTCCCTATACAGGGCCAAGCTGCGACACCCCTCCAACACATGCAACCCCGTGAGTCTGTCTACTTGACATGCTGAGCACCTAGGTCGACTCGCGCCAACCAACAGGTACCCATGAGTCGCACGTGTGTGGCCTATCCGCAGGCGGGTCAGGACAACGCTTTCCCTTCGAGATATCCCCTCCGGGTTCCACCGGTCGACCGTCGGCTTAACGGACACCAACGCGTCAGTCGAGTCGGCCCAACGACGCTTCCACTTGTCTAACATCATATTTTTCACTATTCTCTTAACGTCGTCAGGCCGAATCGGGGTGGTCTCAACATCGTCACTGTGAGGAACGAGAGTACCCGTTTTCGCGGCCACTATTTGGTTTAGAAAAATCAATTAGATTTGCATACATTTTTGCACTTGATGATGTTCAAGTCAATTCGGAGAAAAGTTGGTTGAAAAGAATTATTCTTGATTAAGGAAAAGTGTATCAGGTGTTGATGAAATTTTTATTTGATGTGAAAAAAGTTTAGTTAAAGTTGCTGAAAGGTTTAATTTGTTGATGAAAAAAGTCAGATTTGTTTAATTTTTTTATGATCTAGAAGAAGTTCAATTAAATTTGGAGTTTGAACTGGAAAAAAAATTGATTTTTTTAAAATCTGAAAGATCTGAAAAAATAAAAAGTAGTTTGTAAAAAGTTCAATTGTGTATGGAGAAAATTTCAATTTGTTTGGAAAAAAATATTGGTTTCAAAAAAGTCAGTCGGATTTGGCTGAATCTTTTGTATGATGTAGAAAAAGTTGGATTATATGTAGAGAAAAGTTGTATTTGTTTGTAAAACATTTCCAATTGTATTTGAAAAAAGTTAAATTTAAACAAATCCATTAGATTAGTGTAAAATTTTGTACTTAGTATACAGAAAAATTTGAATTAATTTAGGAGTTTAAAACAGAAAAAATCCCGATTAGATTTGAAGAAAAGTTCCATTTGTTTAGAAAAAATTATTTCGTTTAAAAAAATCAATCGTATTTGGCTGAAATTTTTTTGTGATTTAGAAAAAGTTCAATTTCATTCGGATAAAAGTTAAATTTGTTGGGAAAAAGTTATTAGTTTAAAAGCAGTCAATTACGTTGGGGTAGAATTTTTATTTGCTGTAGAAAAAGTTTAATTATATTTGAAGAAAAGTCCTATTTGAATCGGAAAAAGTTCACTTACATTTGGAAAAGTTCAATTTGTTTGATTTAAAAAAATCATTTATATTGGGGTGAAAATTTATATAATCTATAGAAAGTTCAGTTAAATTAGGAGTTTGAACTAGAAAATGTTTGATGAGATTTTGAGAAAAGTTCATGACGTCGAAAAAGATAAATTTAGTTTAGAATTAAAAAAATGTATGTAAGATAACTAATAATAAAAAATAAATATTAAAAATAGATTTTAGTGTATTTTTATTCTTGAGAAAAGTTCAATTCGAATCGGGAAAAGTTCAATTACATTTGGAAAAGTATTGAACGTGTTTGATTGAAAACCATCAATTAGATTTGTGTACAAATTTATATAATCTAAAAAGATTTAATTAAATTTGGAGTTTGAACTAGAAAAAGTTTGATCTGATAATGAGAAAAGTTCTGTTTGTTTGGATGCGTTCCTATTTTATTTTGAGAATGTTAATTTTATTTGGAGAAAATTTAAATATAATTTGTAATAATTTAATTTACATTAAAATAAAATATAAAAATATAACTGGACTCACAATCAGTGGAAAAAATGGCAGTTGTTCAGAAAATCGTCAGTTTAATTGGAAAGATTTTAGCTTAATTTGAAAAAAATCTGTAAAGAAAAATAGTCTTTGTCGACAACAGATAAACACCTACCATTTTAAACTAGTGATGTTTGTAATATATAAGTAAAATTTTCTGTTGTTATATGTTTTATTTGTTAGAGGCATTTTTGTTAGAAGTAGCGGATGTACGTTTAGACCTTCTGGGTTTAGTTGGTTTTGTTCGTTCTGAAACTATTTGGTTCAGATATCCCGGGACGACTGAGGATACCTGTTGAACTCCTATCGTCGGAGGCGGCGTACTTCCATCTTTATCAACGCGGTAAACGCTGTCGGTCTTTTGAGATTTGGCGTGGAAGGATTCCTCTGAATTGTCGTCTTTATCCGAATCGCTGTTCTGTGATTTATCCTGTTTTTGCTGTTCCGGTTCACGGATCACCACGGACGATTTTGACTTTCGCAGTCTCTTCCCATCGGTCTCTCCTTTGTCGGAAGGATCTACCGGTGAAGTTGTGTCCGGAGTTACTTCTCTCACTTCTATATTTTGGTTGTTCTCTTTCTTCTTCTTATTGTCCTCTAAATTCGTTCGAGGGTTGCGATTGAAGCAGACCGGGTAGGGTAACTTGCAAGTTTTCGAAGCGATGTGGCCCAGAATGGCAAGCTCGTCCTTCTTAGACAACATGCCAGCCCTCATAGGACCTTCCAAAAACTCATCGGCCGACATACTCATGAAACGGAATCTCGACATTAGACAGTGCTCCAGTCTTTTATTCATATCTGAGATTAAACAATTCAACAATTCTCGTTACAACTCAACAACCCAAAATGAAATACTTTATGTATACATTAAAAAAAATACCGTCAGTCGGATTGTGTACACAAGCTTTGGCACATACGTCCGTTTCTCGATAAGAGCTGAACCATTTGACCACCAATCTGAAGAGTTCACATTCTTTTATAGATAGTGCAGGTTGGTCTAAAATTACGACGAGAAATTGGGGGCTGAAATTGGTTACATTTACATCGTTGATTACCTCCTTCGTCTCGTTTTGAATTATCTGAAATCACATCATTATCAAATTTCATAAGACTAAAAAACGAAAGTGTGTGTGGAGGTGATGTGTGCGTATATATATATATATACCTAGTCCTGCCATAAGTTCTGTTACAATCATTCACCTTGAAAATAATCCCAAACAAACGCCTGGCGAACCTTGCTCTCTTGCCTATTGTTTACCTTTGATATAATGCTAAATTCTTTTACTCAGTTGTTATTGAGAATTAATAACGTCAAGATGGAACGCACCCTTGAATAAAACCGTCATGCCATCATCGCACTGCACAACCCAGGTAAATCAAAATCAGAGATTTTCAAGACGCTGAAATCGTTAGGAATAAATCGAATGTTTGTGTGGCGCACTATAAATCGCTTCAAACATATTCTATCTATTAAAGACAAACCAAGGTCCGGCCGTCCTCGCTCTGTGAGGACGAAAAATGTCATCAAAGCGGTTGAAACCCGAATTCGAAGAAATCCGCTACGAAAACAAAAAATATTGTCCAAAGAAATGGGGATTTCTTCCCGATCAATGTCGCGCATCATGAAAGACGATCTTTCGATGAGTGCTTACCCTAGAATGACAGGACAAAGGCTTACAGTATCTTTAAAAAAATAGAGTCGAAAGAGCCAAGGCATTGTTGACCGTTGAGACGGTACGCCGATGGAGTTCATTGACACATCTTGTTTACCGATGAAAAAATTTTTACCATCGAGGAAAAATTTAACCGTCAAAATGACAAGGTTTATGCTAGACGTTCTCTAGAAGCTCAGCAAAAAATCGGAAGGGTAGAAAGAGGCCATCATCCTGCTTCCGTAATGGTGTGGTGGGGAGTTTGCTACGATGGCACCACAAAACTCATTTTTGTGAGCAAGGAGTCAAAACAAGGGCGAAAAATTACCAAGAAGACATCCTTGAGAAAGTAGTAAAGCCCTTAAGTACTACTCTTTTTTCCGGAACTCATTGGGTCTTCCAACAGGATTCAGCTCCTGCGCACAAGGCCCGACAACTCAGCAGTGGCTGGAGGAGAATGTTCCGGAATTCATTAAGGCTTCAGATTGGCCCTCGGGAAGCCCAGATTTGAATCCTCTGGACTACAAGGTGAGGTCCCACCTTGAGCTTATGGCTTGCCACAGGAAACACGCCAATTTAGAGAGCCTTAAGTCCGCTCTGCTAAAATTAGTTGAGAAATTTCCTCAAGACGTGTTGCGTACTGCCATAGATGATTGGCCCCGAAGACTAAAAGCTTATGTGAAGGCAAAAGGTGGTCATTTCGAGTAATATTATTTTACTTCAATCTTAAAAAATATTGGATTTTTTAAAATAAATTTCTTTTTCAAATTATCAAGTTTCTCTATTCCCTAATGGCCCTTTTTCTTCTGACAGAACTTATGGCAGGAGTAGGTATGTGTGTGTGTGTGTGTGTGTGTGTGTGTGTGTGTGTGTGTGTGTGTGTGTGTGTGTGTGTGTGTGTGTGTGGTGGAGTATAGCGGCGGTGTGGTGAGGTTGAGTGAGGGGTTGTGAGGCGGAGGAGGTGTTGGTGAGGCTGAGGCTGAGGGTGGCCCAGGATTCTTATCTACCAGCCAGAGCTCTAAAAATATGTTTACACAGTTATAGTCAGTGTTAATAAATATTTCAATTGCAATAACGTGAACGATTTTATACCTCAATGCAACGACGTTTTAACTCATCTTTCTTGTATACGTCCGCAAAGACGTAAGTTTCCATGACGTTCGACGCGTTCACCTTGTCTTCGATGTAAGCGCTGCTTACTTCTTTCAATTCGGGAACCCACAGCTTATCGGCAATTCTGTGCAACTCGATAGCTTGTTGACTCGTTGACGGTGCACCTTCTCCTGTGTAGATGAAGCTGCAATACAAATTCTACGTTTACTTTGTGTCTTTTGCTTCTATTTCATTTTCGATACTCTCACTCTAAAAAGATCTTGAAAGAATCTGGATTTATGTTTGTGAAGACGATCGTAGCTTCACCTGGAATCTTGAAGACCTCGGTCTTCATTACACTCTCCAAAACCTCGCTGGACGCACCCAAAATAAACCGGTGGGCTTTGAACCACTAGAAAACAAATAACTACATTAAGTAATAACCTTAAACGTATATAAAAATGGTAAACATTTAATCATTCTGATGTAATTCAATAATATATCATTGAAAAACCCAATAGATATTACCACTTTTTTTTCTGATGACTACTGAATGCCTACCCTAAATATATATAAAAAAACTCTTTATGATCCTCATTTTACGATTTTATGATCCTTCTGCTCTAGCCTATTTTGCTTATTTCTTATTTATTAATTTTTAAGTTTTTGTATGTGGAATACGCTAATGTATAGAAATATATGTCAAGCAGGACAATCAATGACTTTCAATGCTGAAAAAAATTGCTGACTACAAATTAACAGATAGTACCTTATTGGTCCTCAAGGATGAACCCTATTTTTGAATATTTCATTTACCTCAATTGTTATTTGAAAATGTACTACTTAATTAACTCCAATTAAGAAGTGGACAAACCGTTTCGGATTTTCCATTTACAATTTTTACGCTGATATCGCATCCATGGTTAGATTTGTACATATACTCAATTTTCTCAGCCCACGTCTTTTTATTTGTTCGCCAGTCGGATAGATTTTCCGAGCTGAAAATTAAAAATTAAAACATTATTGTTATTTATTTTATTACTTATAACAGGCCATGAAATTAAAAAAAAATTAGATTCTGACCTTCCTCTAAGAGGAACCGTGGATTTATACAACATCGCCTAAAAACAAGACAAACAATCAATTAGTATCCGATTATTAAACAACCAAAACCAATTCCAGCAAGGTTAACAAGTAGATGAAATAAATATGCTAAATAATATTTATTAACAATAAAAATGTAAAAAGGTATGTATGTTCGTAATCGAAAGGTATACACTTGTTTGGATTAAACAGTTTTTTATTTCAGTCATTCTCACTTTAGTTGAACGGAATGGCTTATAAATAATATGTCTAAATTTCCAGTTGTTGTAATGTATGTTACCACATTTGTAGTAAATTTCTGTTTGTGGTAACATGTTTGTAGTAATAATCCATTCAATTGTGGTTACTCTTTGGATTTGTAGTAAGAGTCATTTTAGTAGTAGCTACTTATTGATTGATGGTGATTTCTTTTAAGTACTAGTCAAATTTTTAGTAGTTTTCGTACTTAATTTCTTATCTTAATTTTCATACTCGTTGCGGCGAAGTATTTGTAGTAATGATTAATTACTTATTCGATGGAGGCCATGAGTTTGATATAATGGTACATTTATTGGTAGTCATTTCTTGGTTATTTCTTTATTGTGTGACCATGCACTTTTTGTAATAGTCAATGTATTATCAATTACTTCTTGGTTAGAACTGAAGTATTAATAGTAATAGTCAATTCAATTAAAATTAGTTTTTGATTGGTGGCCACGAATGGTAGTAATGGTCAATTCAATGGCAGTTATGTGGTTGGTGCCCCCGAATGTGATGTAATCGCCAATTTAGTAGTAGTAGGTATTTTTTGCGCAGTGGTGATTTATTTTTAGTAAGAGTGAATCTTTTAGTAGTTCTTCCTAGTTTATGACAATGTATTTGTAGTAATAGATAATTCAGTAAGCCATTGCTTGTTTCCTGGAAATGTATTTTTAGTAATAGTCAATTTAATCGTTCTTAATGTTTGGTTGGTGGCCATGAATTAGTAGTAATTGTCAATTCCAACGTAATTACTTATTGGCTAGTAGTCACGAATTTGTTATAATTGCCAATTTATTAGTATCCACTACTTGCTTGGTGGTGATTTAGTTGTTTATGGGCGACCATGCAATAGATGTAGTAGTCAATTCATTATGAATGTATTCTTTGTCAGTAACATATTTGCAGTAACAGTCAGTTGGTCAGGTTTTGGGTCGTAGCCATGGATTTGCATAATAGTAAATTTAAGAGTAGCTACCTGTTGCTTGGTGGTGATTTATTTGTAATGATAGCGAATTTTTTGTAGCTACTTCCTGGTATGTGGCGATGTATTTGTAGTAATCTTCAATATAATCATAGTTACATGTTGGGTGGCCATGAGTTTCACTTCTTGTCTGATGGTGATTTCTTTCTTGGTAGCCAAGTTACGGTTGTAATAATAAATTTGTTACTTACTTCTTGGTTAGTACTGACTTATTTTAAGTTTATTAAATTGGAGTTCGTTTTTGGCTAGTGGCCATGGATTTGTTGACCGCCAATTTGTAAGTAGTCCCTTCTTGCTTGGTGCTGATTTATTTTATGTATAGGCAATTTTTCAGTAGTTTTTATTTTGTGGCAACAGTAGTCATTTCAATGGTGGTCGCTGTTTCGTATTTGGCCATATTTTTGTAGTAAGAATCAATTTCTTAGTAGTTCCCTTTTGATTAAAGGCCATAAATTTGTTGAGGAATAAAATTTATTATTATTTACTTCTTCATTGTTGTTGTTGTAGATGCAGTAGTGAAAGTATTGGGTTGTCCGGAAAATAATGCAGGATTTTAAGTTTTCATTAAAAAAAATCTATATAAAATATTCTGTTTACGTTTACAGGATNTGGGAAATTATTTTGATTAAAGAACATTGCTTTAAAGTAACTAGTTTCTTTTTTTTTGTTTAATACCAAAATCCTGCATTATTTTCCGGACAACCCAATAGTAGTAATGTCGTTGGTCAGCTAAGTTACTAATTTTAAGCTACAAACTGACACAATTCATGTTAAATAAGAGCAAAAATGATTTTCACGGTGCAATCATTTTGCTAAACCACAATGAGTGGCAGCTTATGTACAACTAATGAATGAATTGCAATATGAAATATATGGTCTGCTGTTCAGGTACAGTCATAAATATATGACCTGAATAGAAATCGGTATCTTTTTGCTGTTGATGAAAAGTAGATGGAAAAACTGTTTTTTCATTTGGTACATTTTCTTCATTCAGTCTCGTTCTCCACTTTTTATATCAGTCTATTGTGTCCTTGGATGTTGATGGTAGCTTTGATAGTATTCGAATTGAGGGAAAATGTACGGTATATCCACGGTAGGTAAGCAATGTACCTAATATAAACGATGGGACAAAGTATGTGTCCTTGTGGGTCGCCGGTTGTATCTGACTGACTTGCATGAACTCGTTGCCCCCCCACTCTGAAACAGTGGTTGGCTATATAGCATTTCAGGTTAAGGTAATAAGGAGTTGATATGATAAGGAGAAAGCAGAATTGGTGAGGAAGAATGATTTTATGAGTGTCTAGGAGTAGTAAGTAGATGGAAAAGTTCGTGAGTTTGAATCCCGCTACCACTATCTTTTTCATCTCAACTAAGACCTTGGATAAAAAGAATAGTTAATTGAAATAAATAATATGGTTAATTATGACGGTTAAACATTTATAAATTAATAATATAATATATTTAATGTATTATTGTATACGGTTTATCTAAAAATGAGTGGTTTTGTCCAAGCTGTTTTTTAACAGTATTAAAAAATGATTTTGGACTTTTTAAACTAATAGAACATATGTTTAAAAGAACTGCTTTCGGCCGTTATAGCTTTCGTTATGTTCGCCAAAATTTCACGCTTCTCTTACGTTCTGTTCATAAATATTAACAAAATTGACAAAAAATTAGGAAAAGGCTCATTGCAACTCACGTCTTAGTCGTGAAGGCGGGATAAATTGCGACAATTCGGTTTTACATGTTGAAGAGTCTTTGGTTTTAAATTTTTTTTTGTCAAATGAAATGCGGCTCCACCTCGTTTTGACCGTATTCGTAGCAGTGATTACGTGTCTTCATGACCGCGAAATTGCCCCGTGAACTAAGAGAACACACCCAGAGCTCCTTTAAGTGTATGTGCTAATGAAACATTTGTGAGAGCGGAAAACATTTGTGACTTGAAAACCGATCTGGTGATATCGACTTTTTATTGGTAAATGTTAAGATGCGCTTGAGTGGACATTTCCCTAAGAAGAAATAGCCAAAACGCTCGTGAGAAAAGCAAAAGAAGAGCGTTAGAAGAATTTTCAAGTCAGACGAGTTCGCCATTAAAAATTATTACGATGTCATATGTGTTTTATTCTACTTTATCAATTTTAGTTCATAAATTACACTTAACAAAATACTGTAACAATATTCCTAGAAAATAACAAAAATAACAATTTACTATGTCAGCCAAGGAAAGTATTGATTTTTATTACCTACTATCCTTGATTTACCTAGTACATTGTAAAAATACAGTTTCTACACTTAAATTGTAGTCCTTCGGCTAATCATTAGAAAGGGTCGGTTTGACACTGAAGACTGTACTTGCGCCTACACCTACCTCGCACTCGTCCTGGACATCTTACGGTCATCGGCAGGTTGTGTGCATGGTCGCACCTCTACTTAGCTGCGTCCCTAGAACAATGATCGACGTTCATCGGTTTGGCCTCGTCTTTACGGACGGGTCTAGGATCGGTGGTATACAGTGTTGGCTCGTTCACTTCGTGGCGCTCCAGTAGCGCTGTAAGCGTGTACACGGAGTTGTACGCGATCTGACACGGTCTGGGGTGATTCGAGACGAGGCGTCCGTACGGACTTCCTGTGCGCAGTTTTGGCTAAGTGTGACAAATTTTCGGTCAACTCTGTTGTCGTTTTTTGGCTAGAGAGATGTGCTGAGCTGGGTCGCCTAGTCTGGACACTATACATCGGATGTGAGGGTAACGAGACGGCGAAAGCTGGGACATCTCGCCCTCCACACCAAACAATAGCGATCCGACCTACTGACGCTGTACGAGTGTAAATAATCTAATAAAAAAACTCCGGCAGTGTTAGTGGGTAAGTTCGTCCGGGAAGCTCTTGCGCCAAACAGCACGACGGAACGATACCCTCCCGAGAGCCTGAAAAGCACTTGCTCACCCATTTGAGGGTAGGCTATTTCTAATTGACACATGGTCCATGTGATTTTGGGCAAACCCAGGTGTCCCGCTTGTAGAGGGAAAATTTGGCCAGAGTGTCACTTGGTCGACAAGTGACACGCCTTGGCCGGTTAAAGTGAGCAGGTAGACAAAAACAGTCCTTGGGAGTGAGTTGTTTAATAGCCTTTTCCGATGTTTAAGAGAATTTTTATTATCAATGCACAGCGTATCATTTCGGTATGTCTTTCACGATTTTTTAGCTCAACATCAAGACCGTTATTGAATGAATATGCTTCATCTATTTGGCCCATATATGCCCTGGTTTTAGGCTTGCTTGTCTGTTCATTCTGGAGTTTTGGCAGTAACAGTTCTTAATAGATTTCTGTTCAAATTTATACTTTGAGATCTGGCTCCAAGACCTTGATTGGTTCATATTATAGTGTAAAGAAGGTTGAGATTAAAAATTGTTGTCACAGCATCCGGATCAGTACCCTGGTGCTCTACCACTTGAGCTATCGTGACTTCGGTCCTCGAAGCACCGACTCATCTCAACCGACTTCTATTTAAAATTTTCGTTTTTTACGGCAATTATTTTTTCTTGGGTTCGAGTCCCACTAATTTTCATCACAACCTACATTACATTATATTAAAAACTAGTTTAGATGACAAATGCAAAGTCGCTTTTTCCACTTTAGTACTAAATATTTTTAAAATAAATTCAAAATTGTGTGTAGTATCTCCAAATTTAATAGCTTGACCAAGATCATTAATTTTTAATTATACTTGCATTTTGCCAAATTTTCACTCTTACTATTTTTTATGTCTTTACATTTTCGCTCTATTGTCCCTAAATGCCAGTCCTTGATGATCTTGTTTTTATTTATTAATGTTTATTTGTACCTTGTACATGTATTGTACACATTACAAATTGTTCTTTATGCTATATAATCCCGGACACAACGCTAACACACTGCCAGAACTTCACCCAGAGGTCACGTGACCGAGAAGCTATCCAACGCGATCTCGGGGGCCATGTGTTCTTCCAATAGGGCAGTAGGGTTAGAATAAGTTAAATGATTGGAGTGAAACTTGAGGAAGCTGGATTCTTTTCCATTCTTTTACGAAGGGAATGTTAAAATCATTTTGGATGTGAGGTTTGAAACATAGCAAGGAGGTAGGAGAATTCTTCTGAGGGCGTTTGATTGGAATGGTTGGATTAGTTAGATATTAGATGGTCATGTCATCCACAGTTTTGCTCAGTATGACCAAATAGGTGAAAGTAATGTTTTGTACATCGTTAGGTTGTTCTTTACCGTCATGTCTGATTTCGGTCCTTTCTAGTTTTGCACCATTCTTCAATAGCTCCAGATGATCGTCAGATATTGGAGGTGTGTTGGATAGGATTGTAGTTAGAAGATAATATTTTGGTATCGCCTGCGAAAGTGCAAGGATTGGAATATATAGGCATAAATAGTATATACGATGGGACCAAGATTACTTCGATGTGAGACGCCTGGATCGGCCTTGTCTCAGAGAACACATTGCCGCACCTTACTACAAAGTAATATATTGAGCGCGTCCGTGCGTTGTGTCGTAAGAATGTGTTTGTGTACCTTGAAAACCTGCTAATGTAAGTAAAACTGTTGGTTTTGACAAAACGCAGAACAGTTGGTAAGAAAAAATGAGGTACACAAACACATTGAAACAACACATACGCTCACACCTTTGAATATTATTGGCAAATCTTGAAGCCCAGCATTGACTGTTACAACTACCGTTGAATCGACTATGACAACAAATACATTCCCTCAAATAAAGAAGAAATTATCACTGAATTGACTAATATTTAAAACCACTAATAAAATGACATAACACAATACCAACAACCAAAAACTAACTACGATATAATTTCCATTACTACACAATACATTACCATAAACCTGAACTACTATCAAATTTACTATTGTTACAACTTCATGATCAGCAACTATAACTTAACCTACCAATAAATTATTGGAAGTAATTCTGTAAGTCCTGCCAAAAAGTAACAGGATTAAATTGACTTTTATTACAAATACAACAGCACAAACCTGAATTAGCTACTAATAAATTAACCAATACTGCGAACTATTAACCAAACATTAAGTAACTTCCATTGAATTGTTATTACTACCAAAATATTACCACAAACTAGAAAACAACAATTTGACTAGTAAGTAAAATTTATGACCACCAACCAAGAAGTAAGTACTCTTGAATTGTCTATAGCTAGTAATAATCGACTATTAATACAAATGGATAGCCACCAATCAAGAAGTAATTACAATTGAATTAACACACATAACCCATGAACACATAACAGACGAACACAAAACTCAAGAACACAGATCACATACACAAACACACATACACAGATTTTGGTTCAGTCACTCTTTCACGTTAGTTACAAGCTGGTACTTACACAGTACGACAATTAAATGATGATTTTCGAATCATTAAGATCAATATGACTTGCAACATATTGGCATTGTTTTCTTACAGTAGCAACTTTAAAACGTTCAAACACACAGGAACACACTTGAGTATTCAGGCGAGCCATACACACCCGCGCTCGCACAGAGAGAGAGAGAGAGAGAGAGAGAGAGAGAGAGAGAGAGAGAGAGAGAAAGAGAGAGAGAGAGTGAGAGGGAGAGTCACACTCGCATTCACGCACGCAGAAATACATAAACACACAAACAAGAACAGACACAAATACAATCGCGCTCGCGCAGGCACACAACGTTCACGCACTCAGTTCATTAAGTAAACAACCATATTTCGCCCGTTCCTATCACATTCAATCTTATTTTAAACTATCAGAGTATTAACTGTCGGTGAACACGTTTTATTTCTTGCTGGTGTTGCTTCCTCTGGCCGAAAGAACCGCCGACTCTTTGGATATTTTTGGCGTCTGCATTTTCGAACCCGTTTTCTCCGCCCCTCCTTCGACATATTGTCGTATCGTCTTGTTGAAATTGTCGGGATAATCCAGATGGCAGTTTTCGTCCGCGACGATATGACCGAGAACGGCCAACGACTGGTTTTTCGTCAGCATGCCCGATTTGACAGGGCCAGCGACAAACTCGTCACCGGAGAAGTTGAGGAAGCAGAACTTCGTAACGAGACAATCGTACATTTTCCCTTTTAGGCCTGTGAAGTAATTCAAAAGACAAATAAACAAAATTTATTCTTATTTGGAGAAAATTAAAGAAAGTAAAATTTACAGTCGTTATCGCTGCATGTATTAACCCATTTATGAATCAACCGAAACAATTCTGGCTCTTTTATGCTTAATTTTGGCTGTTCGAGTACAAGTACGATCCATTCCATCTTCCAAGTATGCATGTTGTTCTCGTTCAGCACGCTGGCCGTATTGTTCTGAATCAACTGAAAAAAATAAAAAATATAAATTTCTTAGATACTTGGCTAATTGTTACCCAAAACAAACCTCGTTACATCGCTGCTTCAAATCATCTAATTTGTACATGTCCGCATACTCACAACACTCCATGACGTTGTCAACTGTCAAATTTTCATCGACATATTTGGCACATTCCAATTTCAAATCCAAAACGTTAAATTTGTCGGCTATTTTATGCAAAGCGATAGCATTTTTAGTTGAAGACAACTGGAACTTTTTACAGTAGACGTATCTGCAGAAGGAAACCGCTTGTTAGATTTTTTCGCGTGACAAATTAATAATATAAGTACTCCAAAAATTGCGCGAAAGCTTCGGCGTTCACGTTGACCAGCATTAATATGGCATCGCCTGGATTCCGGAAAACCGGTGCCTTCAACATCGTGTCGAACACTTCACTCGACATGCTCAAAACGAATCGATGCGCCTTGAAGCTCTTTAAAAAAATTTTAAAACAACAAAATCGAAATATTGAAATATTTTAGTGTAAAACCTTTTCGTTTTTGTCTTCACATATTTTAATGGTGATGTCAGTGCCATATCCACACCTGTAAATGTGGGTTAGTTTTTCCTCCCATGTTTTATTGATGTTTCTCCAATCTTCCGTGACGGATCTGCAATTCGTGTCCCAGAAAACGTTTATAAATCAAAACAAAGAGGGTTATTCTTTCAGTTATCTTTTAAAAATAATAAATCTTTTTTGTATTTACAATTCTATCACTTGTATTGCAGGTTGTTGAACAATATACTGCAGCAAGGAATTTTCTAGATTAGCAGTTTGCGATCATGACATCAGTCCTCTTCAGTGTTAATTACATTTGTATATCCAGTGGACTTCCCAACAATGTGGACACGTAGAAAATTCCATGTTGCAGTATATTGTTTAACAACCTACATTACAGGTGATATTCTTTCAAATCGTTGATTGCTTGTGTGTATATTTTATATTTGGGTCGATTTAGTTTTCTATCTGAAGGAAATCGCCATTTTCCTTATTGTGGTATTTAGTGACCGTTAGTTAATGATTATTTGGAGACGTAGGTTTTAGAAAAACGTTTTCTTCCTTTTTTTAAAAAGATAGTTCCTACTCACCGTAAGTACTATCTTTTTAAAAAAAGGATCGAACACCACACTCACTCCATCAATCATCATTTCTATAAACATTTTCTTTATAATACCAACGTTTCGATCTTTAATGAGATCATCTTCAGGGCCAGGGATTTGTAAACGTTGTTTAAATTTAACAAATACATATAGGATGTTGAAAAGAGTGAATTTATACAAGGCAAAAGTTTTTTTGGTATTCAATGAAAGTATATGTGAGTAAAAATATTTTGATGGAATATTTAAAAAAATTGCATAAATTCACTTTTTTTCACATCAGTATTTGTTAACACAGCATTTGTTAAATTTAAACAATGTTTGTAAATCCCAGGCCCTGAAGATGATCTCAATGAAGATCGAAACGTTGGCACGATAAAGAAAATGTTTTTCTGAAACGTACGCCACACCAGACCGCATCTCACGATTTCCGAATAATTTTAATTTAATTTTATTAATGATATTGGCGTAGCTGCGACTGAGTTTACATGTGTCTGTTCTATAATTTGATGCTGTGTTTATCTCGGTTGATTTAAACCATTTCTAAAAAGTTACGTTTATGTTTGTTTTGTTCTATAACATACCTGAAACTAATTGAAGTGCCATATTATGGTTTATATACGTTGGAACCTTTTTTATTCTTTGATATATTTATTGCAAACTGTAACCTTACATACATTTTTTCAATTAATTAATATTTACGTAAGGTACTGGTTGAGATAAAAAAGTTAGTGCCACGAGCGGGATTCGAACCCACGACCTTCGGCTAAATGCTGCTCTACCACGAAATATCGTGACTTCGATCCACTCGGTCACCAATTTCCCATCTCAATCCCACCCCTCGAATTTTCCCTCTTTTTTGCCATTTTTCGTAATGGAAATAATGGACTTATATACATTATTTAAAAAGCTGGATTTACAAATGGACATCTATCTTGATGTCTTGGGGGAGTTAACCACTATTGTTCGCCCAACTATATGCGAGGAATAATCTCCGTACGGTAGGTCGCGAGGCTATCTGTTCATTCGTCTGATAACAGTTAGTTGTTACTGGGAAAGGATTAGACAATTAGATCGGGGTAAAAGGAGAGTTTATTGTGGAAAGTGGAAAATGTTTTCGGGATTATTTTTGCACGAGAGGGATTTTGAAATCATTGTGAAGGTTGATGTTGGAAAAGTAGTAAGGGCACTAACTATGGTTCTGTTGACTTTGGATTGGAAGGACGGATTCATTGGACGTCGGAAGGTTTAGTGCCTTCCAGACTAGAACGGTGCCCCCACAGTTCTAGTCCGTACGTCCAGAATGGTTTTTGCATTGTCTTGTAGATTGTCAGTTCGTTGCAGGACAAGATGACATCGAAACAAAAACGGAACGGCCCCTTCGGAACCCTGACTCAACTGGTTTTAAGGAAATAAACGATAATAAATAGAGGGAAAGTAGAACTTGTTGCTGCTGGATGTGAATTCACCTCGTCTTATTTGAATAATACAAAAATTTTTACATAATTATTTTACCCTTTTTGGTCTCTTTTAACTTATAAGGTTCTTGTAAATATAAAAAAATCACCAACTTTGGCACGCCCACCAAAAATATAAAAATAAAATTTATATGATAGTGACCAGGTTCCATAAAAAGCACAGACCCAGGTAGAACGCAAGCACTATCTTATCGGCTACATAAGATCAAATTGATATATAATTCTTTAAAAAAAGTTCCATGATTTTAGAGTTATTTTTGCAGATACAATGTACCGAGCACGGTAGGAATTGCGTTGTGGCTCATCCTAAACCTAAACGAAATATTTCTTTGTACGGTTCCTCGACGAAATAATTTTATCAGGTTATCCTAGATATCCGTCCCTTCGTGTCTTCAAATTGTATTGCTTGTTAAATAATTTTTACCGAAGTTTAAAATTAAAAGAAGTTTATAAAAACACATGTAGTTATCTCAGGTTTTCCTTTGACATTGTTATCATTAGCAACATTTTTTAAAAACTGAAGTATGAAAATATGAACGTTCTTTTATAACTATACTGTAAGACTACTATAAGACTACAAATCAGGAATTGTATAACATAAATAATCTACAAACAGGTGAAGTACGTTAACTTTTTGCTTACCCTGCTCGCGGTTTTGCCATTTGTTTTTTCGAATTTTTTTTTAACAATCTTCCTATGCGAAATTTTTACATTATATTTTTACAAACTAGTTAAATTTTTTGCCGAAACTGCTAAAACGGTTTGTTGATGATTTCAAAGAAACGTGGTTTTTAACCGATAAAATTAATCAGCTTTTTTTAAACACTAGACATCTAGTTGAATCGTTGTTTTAAGTCTTCTAATCATCGATTTGTACGGATTTTGGGCCAAGGAACTTATTTTTAAACTATTCGGAGGTTTAGTTTCTACACATCCAAGTTGGATTTACCAGTTGCTACTTTAGACATTTTCTTGATGTTGAAGGAGTAAAACAGAAAAAACTCTAAAAAAAATGTTAGATGGACATAACGAAGTTTTCAACAAAAAATAACAAAAGGCTTTCCTGTAGTTTCACAAAGAAATGTTTATCTTGCATTTATCATGTTTATCTTAAATAACAATGCATATGACTTTAAACAAAATATTAAACTACTTGTTAATAAAAAGTCTTTAGAATTAACAGAATTAAATTTTAAATACGTTGAAAAAAAGAAATAAAACTATTTAAACTAACTCATATGAAACGCATTTAAAAAGCTTGTCAACAGAGGATAAGGGGCGTCGGTGGCCGCAACGGTTAAGGCGTTGACACGCGCTCATCACTGTAAGGTAAAGGTCCCGGGTTCGAATCCAGCGGCCCTGCATTCGAACCCGACATACTTACAAATGGGCTTTTTTTCAAAAACACCGGCACCTCGAGGATTGATATAACCTCTGCTGTTGCGAACGCTCGTAAAAAAAGCAAAAAAAAAAAAAAAAACAGAGGATAGGAGCCTTAGGCGTAGTGCTGGACAAATCCTGGCGTCATAACATTTCTCAGCTCCTGTCAGGAATTGGATGGAACTTGGATCGTTTCCTATAAAGAAAAGCCCAAAGAATTTGCGAAACATCCCTCCGAGGTATTCAAACCTATTAATCGAACACAATCAATTTTTATCAGATTGTATATGACACCTATACCTCTTGATCTACCACCTAAACCAGTAACTCAATTCAATATCATCTGTTCATGATTTGATACAGCTGAAGTTTTTCAAGAACTTACCAAAAAGCCGACGTCTTTCTGACTTATTTATTTACCGCAATTTTGAGAACAACACACTTCCTCATAAATGGAAACTTTCTTACATTAAAATGATCCCAAAGCCTCATAAATATTTAAGCTCCCCATCATTTTATCTTCCTATTAGTTTGTTACCCATTCCGACACGCAGACCAAAACCCCTACTACGTTCATGTAGAAGTAGGTTGTTTGCTCTACCCGGCCACCTCCGCGAGCGTCAATAAAGCAGGGAACACACCCGATGCGACGCTACCTGACGCAAATCCAAAGTCCAATTTTCCGTAAGATTGTATTACCCCCGTGCACATCTGCCCGATGGTATGCAACGCTACCCTAATCAACGCCCTGCGATCACTGTCCAGATTTTCGTCGGGTAGCTTCGAGTACAGTCGAAGAGAAAAGAACCGACACTCGTATTTTTATTCAAACTACGTGTATTATTGTCGTTATATCAATTACAACATACTTATTTTAATATAAACCAAATTAACCGAGATCAAAAAGTCATTAGTTTTTATTTTTAAAAAGTAATTTTAATGGTTTGGTAGAAAATGATCAAAACACCGGAATACCATTTTTTGATATAATGAATTTAACTAACAATTTATTTCATGGTTTTGCTCATAAAATTACACCATTTTCGTAGGGTAGCGTCAGAACAGGACGCTCATATTTTTTGTAGTTTATTTCAAACTAAGTATATGTAAAACATTCCTATTTTAATGTAAACCAAATTAAACGAAATAAAAAATGCATAAGTTTTTATAAAAATTGTTTAATTATGATGGTTAGGAAGAAAATTTATCAAAACACCGGAATAACTTTAAGTCTAGCCAGTAGTTTTTTACAAGGTTTTGCTCAAAATCGTGCATTAGGAACAAAAGAGGCGTTGCGATTGTGTTACTGATTATTGTGATACACGCTGTGTGATGTGCACACCCTACCAAAACGTGACAAGGCTTCGGGTAGCATCAGGTATCGTCGCATAGCGTCGGATAGCGTTGCATCGGGTCTATTCCCAGCTTAAAGAACCTCCGAAGCAAAATCCGAAAACCTGTACGGGTTGCTTGTTGATGGGCATAAGGGGACAGTGTTTTGAGGAGGTGACCGGAACCTATAACCATGGCTTTGGACTTCGTAGGTTGTTCTTGTGTGCCCGTTCGTTTATGGAATTCAAGATCTTTCTGAATTAGGGGGGCTAAATGTAGGTCGGGAAGACGGAGGGAGGATGAATATGGGAGTAATCAGAGTCATCTCAGATCGGAAGGTGTTCGGATGTTATTATTTTTAAATTGGTTTAATTTTTATGATATGTCTTATATTATGAAAGAAGAATTATCTTTATAATATAATTATTCAGAAATCGTGAGATGCAGTCTGGTGTGATGTAGGTTTCAGAAAAACATTTTCTTTATCATGCCAACGTTTCGATCAAGATGATCTCAATAAAGATCGATACGTCGGCACGATAAAGAAAATGTTTTTCTGAAACCTACATCACACCAGACCGCATCTCACGATTTCCGAATAATTATCGATTAACGGTCACTAACCACCACACATTTATAAGTTAAAATGTCTAAATCATTATTTTTTAAAATACCAGTCTGCTTAAAGCAGAATTAAAGAAAGGGAATTCTATGCTAATAAACTTGTTTTTATCGTGTAAAATAATGTGGTTTTATTGTATGTGTTATTTCTTTTGTTTTAATCACAAGCTTTATGGTTATTTTTCTGGATAGTTGCGATTTGGACTTTTTTTCCTAACTTGCAGATGGGTAGCCGGTTTTGCAGAAGATCTGCCTGCCGATGCTTTATTTTTCGTGTTGTCACTTTGTGGGCCAGTCGGCTTTTTGAGAGTTTGAAGGTTCATCTGGTCATAACCTTTCTTCACTTCTTTAATTACTATTTTCCCCCTCGCTTTCGCCGGCTTGTTATCAGAATTTAGGTCTATCGACTTTGATAGTTCAGGTTTATCTTCTTGGCTGTTGATCGTGTTAGAACTAGATAGTTGACTTTCTACGATACTCGATAATGTAGGAGCGTGGACGACTTCGTCAAAATAATTTTTGGATTTTAACTCAGATTTGTTGCACTCTAAGACAGACATTCTTTTTTTGTTCAACTCGCCGAATGAAGTTTTTTTAATAAAGTTGTGAGCTCTTTCGAGATCGTCTTCAATGGTGCTTTGGCTAGGGAGTTTCTTCGGGAGAGGATCAGTCATCTGGTGAAAAGTTTGCAACGGTTTGCTTTCCGCGCCGGCCGGGCTCGTCAAATGCTTCCTATCCAGGGGTTTTTCTTGCTGATTAGTCTCGGAACTTTTGGTCGTCTGAGACGTCTGTTGAGCTTCATCGACTTTTTCCTTGCTTTTGTGCGAAATCGATTGTATCTTCAACCTCAGCGTTTCCGTTTTGTCGACAAGTTCTGTTCCGTTGCCTGTAGAACCTTGGCAAGTACTCGCTTGTATATCGGCTTTGGACTGTTTATCGCTTCCCTTCACTGGGTTGGGAGAGAGTTTGGGTAAAATCATCGCGCTTTCCTGCTGGCCGGTGATCCTCCTTTTCGTTTTTTTAAAACTGGACGGAAAAGGAAGGTGAAACTTCTTTTCTGAAACAATATGACCGATTATTGCGAGGGATTCGTCTTTTGAAATCATGCCGGTTTTCACAGGGCCTTCGAGAAATTCGTCAGCCGTCATGTTCAAAAAACAAAATTTGTGTATTAAAGTCTTCCATAAATAGTTGCGATGTACGGTATCTGAAAAAAAAAGAACAATCAAATATGCATATTATTTTACCAAATTAAATTGAGCTGAAAATTGCAACCCACTGTCCAGATCTCCGAAATAAGTGTTAATCCAAGTTTCTACCAATTTGAACAGCTCGATTTCAGTTATGCTGAGCTCCGGCTCGTCGAGGAGAGATTTGATCCATTCCAATTTCCATTTCGACATTTTCAAAACTTCAGCCGTGTTTATTCGAATTATCTGAAAAAAATATTTTTTTGACAAAAAAAAATTTAGTAAATTTTTACTTACGTTGCTACACTCCTCTCGCAGACTGTCGATGTTGTAATTAGTGGCAAATTCTTTCACCTCTAGAGCATTAGAGATGGCGACAGTATTCGAAATGAAGTGAAGACACATGCTGTTTAAATCCGTTATGCCGTATTGTTTCGAGAGTTTGTACAGCTCGTACGCGTCCGTGAAAGATTCAAGTTGGATTTTCCTCGTGTATAAAAATCTTTAAACAAAACTCCTCAAAAATGAATGGTTTTTTAAATTTAAAAGAAACAAAAATCAACAAATACCTCAAAAATAGCTTAAAAAACTGGGAATTCGTGTTTGGCAAGTTCAAGACAGTCATTTTAATTGCGGGGTCGAAAACACGGTTTCTCGAGTCTTGAAGAAGTTTTTCGAACAACACGCTTGACATGTTCAAAACAAACTGATGAGCTTTAAAATCCTGCGTAATGATAATTTGTTGAAAAAAGAAAATACAAATAACCAATTTTTTTGGTGAGTGCATACAGCGTATTTATCCCCTTCTCGGATCCTGAGGGCGACGTCGCATCCAAACTGATTTGAAATTATGAACTGCATTTTGTCCTCCCAGTTAGTATGGACCTCCCTCCAATCGCCGGGAGATGAGCTGCAAAGTCAATGTAAATATTCAATAAATAATAAGTTTATGGTAGTACAGCGGATAGCCGCCAGCCGGATAACCAACGTCCTGGCCATCTCCAGCTTGCAAAACTTGCGCTACATAAAACGTGGAAACCACTTAGGTTGTAGAAAATTGGGCTTTACGGTATGTGAAGCAATAATTGCTCATGATTATATTGTGACTGTCAGGTGTGGGAAGCTTCAACAGATTTGAAACGACAGAAAGAGTGCAATAGTTTTTCTCAGTTCTGGCTTCAGATCTCATTACATCGCTATATTGAGACGTTAACAGATTTGCTTATCCTTTTACTCTTCATTTTTTGTTCGTCCTGAAATCTCTTATGTCCCATAGTACGCGACTGGCATAAAGGTTATTTTTTTAATTTAATTTACGAGGGTTCACAACAACAAAGTCATATAAATCCTCGGGGTGCCGGTGTTTTTAAAAAAAGCCCATTTGTAAGTATGTCGGGTTCGAATGCAGGGCCGCTGGATTCGAACCCGGAACATTTACCTACCGGCGAACCCTAACCGCGGAATAAAGGTTAGGGACTTAGTAAAGAGCTTTGACGATTTGTCTGTCAATTTAAAAAATTGATTTTCGGTTACAAACGGCTTAAAAAATTAGCCATATTGTGATGATTAATTTTTGAACTAAAAAAGGAAAATAGGATGCAAAGATTTAAAACATTAAAGTTCCAATTCTGTCAAGAAACGATGTCAGGTTCATCCTTCAAGAAGTTGATCATTTCCCACATTTAATTTATTTTTAGTCAGTTGTTCTTATGTTCAAGTTTACAGTAAAAAGTATTTTTTTATTACTTTTATTATACCCTACTATACTTTAACTATTTACTACTTTTTTATTCCCCTAATAGAAGTTTCAAAATGTTAATGATAATGTTTTTACAGTTTGAAACAGAAAAATCACATTTTTAGCAATTAATCATAATTTATAGATTGATGATGATATTACAAAAATGATGTCGAAGTGTTTCATGCTCATTAGTTTGAGAAACTGTAGTTAACCGTTGGACAAAAACTGTGGAAACTCTTAAAATTTTATTTTCTTAGTGATTTCATATTTTCAAAAAACAGATGAATCTAATCGATTTTTCAATATTCTTTTCTTTGGTGTAACAAAATTTACTGTAGGATTAACAAATAATGAGATACGAGGGGCTTTATGGAAAAAGTTTCGAAAAGTTGAAGTAACCTGAAAAGCGAACTGTCTGGGATGCAATTCAGATTCAGACATCGTACAATGGGGATTTCTTAGTTCAATTTACATGTAGGATAACCTCCTGGAGAATTGACTTTTGTTCACGTGACACCTGTATATACAATTCTTATTGTCTTTATTATTCAAAAACCGTGAGATGCGGTCTGGTGTGAAGTAGGTTTTAGAAAAACATTTTGTTTATCGTGCCAACGTTTCGATCTTTATTGAGATCATCTTCAGGGCTTGGAATTCACAAACATTGTTTAAATTTAACAAATACATGTAGGATGTGGAAAAAATTGAATTTATACAATGCAAAAAAATATTTTTTATATTCAATCAAAGTATTTCTACTCACTCAAAGTGTTTGTTATCTGCGTATTGGTGCCATTCTTGCTGTCGTGTTGAGATTATGTTTTATGTTTATATACGTTGGATTTTGAAGGGGTGGGGAAGGAAGTCGGTATAGAAAGACATTTTTGCATAAGGAGTCGGCTTCTTTGAGGTGAAAAGAGCCGACGATGGGAAATAAACCTTGGTAATGGTTAGGCAAGATTATCCTTTCAGGATTATATAGACGGGGGTAATTAGGAAAAGGAAAGCTAAATTGTAGAAAAATTAGACTATGTAAAAATGTTGGTATATGATGAATGTTTTATATGTTGTATTATATATTTTGTGTGATGTGATGATATATGTATGTTATCGATATTGAATTTGATTAATGATATTGGCGTAGCTGCGACTGAGTTTATATGTATCTGTTCTGTAATTTATGCTGTGTTTATCTCTGTTGATATAAACCATTTCTAAAAAATTGCGTTTATATTTGTTTTGTTCTGTGTGTAATATTTTTTGATTGTTGAAGTCGAAATTGTGTTTATGTTCAGATTGGTGGGTAGGAGTGCTGCAGGATTTTGCTTGGGTTTTTGCAATCATAGATATGTTGCTTAACTCTCTTATCCAGAACTCTCTTACAAAAAATATTTTTTTGCATTGCGTGCATTGTGTCACTTTTTCCCACATCCTACATCTATTTGCTAAATATAAATAATGTTTGTAAATTCCAGGCCCTGAAGATGATCTCAATAAAGATCGAAACGTTAGAACGATAAAGAAAATGTTTTTGTGAAAACTACATCACACCAGACCGCATCTCACGATTTCTGAATAATCATTTACTAACGGTCACTGATCACCACAACTTGTCTTTATATTAATACAAAATTTAGAATTATTTTTTTTTGTAGTATTTTTTAGATGTTCAAAATTGAGATATTTTGTATATTACAGTAGTATATTAAAATGTACTTGCTCATTGTACTTCTTTCGTCATACTTTTGTCGTCAGATAGAGTTTGGTCTTGTTAGTTTGTAGTAAGAGTCAATTTAACTGCAATTAGGGTTAGTCGTTATTGTAATTCAGTCAATTCAAATGAAGTTAAAGCTTTGTTGTAAGAGTGATAGCCAAGTAATTCAACGGTATTTCAATCTTCTTAAAATAGATTTCTGTAAAAATACAAAAATATATAATTTAGAAGTACTTCTCTCTTTGTTGACTGCAACTTCGTTCTAAATTTCGGTTAAGGATGATTTAATCCAATATCCTTTTAGTAATAGTCAATTGAACTTCGATTTGCTTTGGCGGCAATTTACCTTCAATTATAATCGATTTAGAAACAGTAACTACTTTGTTTTCTCGTCAGGTAATTCAGCGATATTTCAGTCTTTTTGGTGCTGCTCTGTTTACAAAAATGTTTGATTTTGATGTATTTATGTCCTTGTTCGCTGTAACTTCGTCGTAATTATTCGATTCTGTCAATGTCTTTGTAGTAATACTCAATTGTTACGAAGTAATGTATATGTTTTATACATGCAATCCGGATATATAAAAAAGTTGTGTTTGTCATAACTGTCACTAACAGGTATCAGGTATGCGGTTTTTTGGGTTTTAGGTGCCGTATTTACTTTTTTTAATTGTTTTTTAGTCGACTGCAATTTTGTTGAAAATTTCGGTTCAAAATAGTTAATCCAGTCTAATTCGATATCTTCAATGAAATGGCCAATTGACAGGACGATGCAAAATTCGTTCTGTCGTAATAGTGACTGCAATTCTGCGGAATATCAGTTTTGTGGAGCTGCTGTGTTTGCAAAAGTATGTAATTTAGAAGGATTCCTCTTTTTATTGATCGCATAATGTCATTATTTTCAATTCCGAATAGTTAGATCAATTTCATTCGATATCTTCCTAGTAAAAATCCATTCACACGAGGGTTAAAAAAATGTTTTTATCATAATAGTGACGTCCAGGTAAATGAAATTGAAATACTGCGGTACAATCGTTTTTGGTGCTGTGTCTGCAGACATATTTGTTTTACTGATATTTTTGTCTTTCTTTGCTGCAACTTTGTCAACAATGTGTGGTGTTTAGTGACCGTTAGTTAATGGTTATTTGAAGATCGTGAGAGGCACTCTCAACACGACACATAAGAATGACGTAATTTCGCAAAAAACAAACACTTTGAGCACTCAAGATGATTTCAATAGAGATCGAAACGTTGGCACGATAAAGAAAATGTTTTTCTAAAACCTACGTCACACCAGACTGCATCTCACGATCTTCAAACAATCTTTGTCAACAATAGTTATTGGTCTCCTTATTCTTGCTGTAATAGTCCATTTTAGAGTGTTTGTAGTAGACGTTGTTGTCGTAAGGCTGAGTACCAGATAATTCTGTGCTATATCGCTATTAACAATTCAGGTAGAGTTAGGTCTATTAATTGATATCGTTGTAGTAATAGACAATTCGGTGTAGTAAAACGTGTTGCAGTGTCTGCGAAACTCTTAACTCAGAAGTAGTTTTATCTTTGTTGGTATGTTACTATGTGTTTGTCGTCATTATCAATTCAGATGTAGTTATCCCTATTGTCAATGTTTTTGTAGTAATAGACAAATCGGATGTAATTAGACTTTTGTTAGTTTACATTAAGATTTAATGGTTTTTCGTATGAGAAAGCATTTTCGCCGTCACATACATTGTTTTAAGTTTATCGTTCGTTGATAAATTTTTGTATTAAAAATATTTTTTAAATCTGAACAATAAATGTTTAAATGCGCCTTTCAATAATGATTTGTTGTGTAAATGCTGCGTGATTTATTTTTACCATATGATTTTTCATCCCGGGAACAATCCGTGGGAAATATTTGTTTTACGATATTGAACTTATTTCATCTTACCTTACTTTGGCAGCAGACATCTTAAACGGTCCCAAAAGAAATTTTGTATAGTGAATCCATAAACTGTAAAATTTTAATTTCGTGCTGTGTTACGGCTAGAGTACTTGGTGTTTGTGTTGAACTTGAACATAGTGTTTTTAACAATTGATCGTATTGACAAAACATTTGTGCTTTGCCAACGGAAAACAATACAAGAAAACAGTGTTAGTTCAGTGGCCTTAAGTTTGGAAAATTAATACTCTTTAGAAATAAATTGAAGGTTTATCAAAAGAACAATAAAGAAACTTTTTATTTGTAGTTATATTTTTTAAAATTTCACTTTGTTGTTAGTTTATTAGTTTCTACAACGGATCCATCAGCTGTAGGAAATTTCGTATAAACATTCCTCGGGGCCGATAAAAGTGCGTGTTTTTGTTAGGAATTCTGGTTTTGGAAAGATTGAATAGGAGACAAGGCGATGCGTTAAAGGGCCCATGCCCCTCTCATCTGTTCACAGCGTAACAGTCTGCAAACCTTTTTTTGTTAAAATTCTAATCACAGCTCCTTCACCCGCTATCAACGCCTGTCTGTTTAACGGAAAAGGGCAGACTTCTTTCAATGTAGAATCGAGATCCATGGCACAAAGGGGATGGAAAAAAGGACTGTCCATGAAATATGAATGTTATATATCACTAGAGCTCCTGGTAGATTTCTGATGTGAACTTTAAAAAATTCTTTAACAAAAACTAATAATATGAAGAATCCAATAAATAAAAATGTTACCACTTATAACCACTTTAATTTACCTAGGCTCTCCTCTCATTTCATAACTATTTCTCCATCTCCCTCAACATATTATATAATTAAGGGTCGGTGGGATACTCAATATTGCGCAATCGATCATCTCACTCTACACATTTACGCTAATAAATACATTATATCTATAAGACGAGACATCTATAAAGTACTAGTAAAAGCATTATGTCTGAACTCGTTCGGCTTCGGTTTTTTACATCATTTCAATCAGGATTTCACCGATATTCAGTCTGGCAAAGCATAGACTTTCACAACCTCACGCCACCGACAAAAGCCGGACGGTGAGTTATGTGCTCGCCGTTTTCGTTTATCACATATTCAAATTAGTCTTGTGAATAAACGACTTTGCTAATGATATTCGCCACCTGACTGGATGGCGAGCACGTTTGATGGCCATCCAGGGCATGTAGACGGCTTTTTTCACTGATTGTTGATTTTGGTACTGCGAACAACCAAAACTGCTTCTTTTTCGTCAGGCATCAGTCCATCTTTGGCGCATCGGGTTAATGCCAGTACCAGCGATTGTTTGTCTGCTTTTTGCAAATCCGCTTTTTCTATCAATACAGTTGCTAGCCCCGAGGATTCATTGGACACATCCCCGATCCTACCAAATATATTTTTAAAAGAATACTATTAGAATTACGAGACCTCCTAGGAGGCGTCTGGCCCCTCTCGAAGGACCAGAGAGAGTCACCCTCATTGGTGCCTGAGCGACTCCGAGGCTCTGATCGGGCGCCATCGACTCCTTTGGTCATTTCGGTGCCCTTACGTTCCCTAAAACTAGGCATTCTCACACTCACTCCGATACGCAATAATAAATACTCCTAAATACAAACCCAATCACACATGCATATCCTCTGTCTAGAATCCGGGTCGGGGGGTACTCGATATTCCGCCCCGACCCGGCTTGACGGAGCAGCGGTGGAGCCTTGAGATGATATGCTGCACAGCCGCCCAGCGTACCCCTACTCTAACATAACTTCACCTAAACTTTAACCTATGAAATAAATACCCCAGTATATACAACCCATTATCGAAATATCTCTCAAAAACCTAAAAAATTTTCTTTAAACTCGCTGCCATGCTCGAGAATTCTCCTATAGTCCCGCGGTATTCCATTTCGGTCTCGATACGGGGGGATCAATAAGTGCGATACCGTGAGTCTGTTATCTTGGCATGCTAGGCACCTAGGTAGACTAGCGCCGACGAACAGGTACCCATGAGTCGCACGTGTGTGACCGATCCGCAGTCGGGCCAGGACAACCCTTTCCCTTCGGATATCCCCTCCGGGTTCCACCGGTTGACCGTCGGCTTGACTTGACGGACACCAGCGCGTCAGTTGAGTCGGCCCAACGACGCTTCGACTTCAAAATGTAAAACAATACTGACAACGAAAATACCGCTCGGCAGAAATAACGAGATAAATCTGATGAAGATGATTCGGTAGGACACATCTGGTATTGATAATATTTTATGTGCTACATTAAATCAAATATAAAATATCGTAAGGTTAATTAATTATATAAATTTTTTGGTAAGTGATTGTATTGTGTTACATTTACATTCCTAGTTTATATATGTATTGACTTTTCCAATTTCCAATTATTGTTTTGTACGATATATTTTTCAGCGAGAGCGTATTTCTTAGGTACTTTATCTGAAACTCCCTTTTGGAAGTCGCTATTTCTTTGTCACCGTGAGGGCTTGCTTTCCTTTTGCACCTTTGGCTAAAACTGGCTGCAATAGTTTCTCTAGTGTTGCCAGATCCGCGGAAGGGTTAGAGTTAGTCGAACCTTTTGATGTCTTTTGCGCTCCTACTTTCTCGGTCCTGGAAGTGGTTGTTCTTGGAGGTGATGCAATGAGTTTGTCATCAGTGGGCAAAGAAGAGTGTTTCGAAACGGACTTTATTATAGATTTTGTAACTGAAGTTCTTTTTTGAGTCTGATTGCTAGATTTAGGCGATATGTTCGTTTTAGCTACATTTTTAACTTTGTCTTCTTCTTTCTCTTTCTTTACAGCTTTACAACCGGTTACAAATTGCACTTGCGGTTCCTTTTTTGCCATACCCAATGCGGATTTTGTTGTGATCGACGATAGAGTTCTGATAGGTTTTATAAAATCCTCTTCTAATTCGGAGATCGAACTCCTGCCCTTGTTCTCCGAAAGCGATTTCTTGGGTTCAGAGTAAATTTCTCGAATGTTCTGGTTGAATCCTTCTGGGTAAGGGACGTCGCATCGATCCGCGACAATATGGCCCAAAACAGCCAGGGACTCGTTTTTTTCCAATAAACCCGATGATAACGGACCGGTCGTGAACTCCTCAGCTGTCATACTCATAAAGCAAAACTTGGGCATTATGTACTCTCTCACTTTGTTTCTAAAACCTGGAACACATTCATTAGAAAAAAAAATTTAGAAACCAAAAATTAGGATAAAAACACTTGCTTAGGTCGTTGAGATTTTTTGATTTGATCCACTTTTCAACCAGATAGAACAGTTCTATTTCTCTTAATTGTAAATGGGGTTGTTCCAGTACGTCTATAATCGCTTCCATATTCCAGTTTGCTATGTTATCTTCGTTCATGATCAACTTGGTGTTTTTCCGAACCAACTACAAAATTAAAAATTAGTGCAAAAAAAAAGCTCTACGTGGGCATTTCATTTGTCCCCGAGAATCAAATAGATTACACGACATTTGAAAATTGCAAAAAGGAGGGAAAATTCAAAAGGTGGGGAAGTTAGTGCCCGAGTGGATCGAAGTCACGATAGGTCAAGTGATAGAGTAGCGGCGTATCTACCCGAAGGTCGTGGGTTCGAATCCCGCTCGTAACACTGGCTTTTTTTTATCTCAACTAAAAACTTGAATTAATTGAAAGATATTAATTGGTCAAGTGGACCACGAAAACTAGTGAATTTAAAAAATAGTTTTGATGAAAATTAAAATTCGACGTAAAAACTTACTTCACTGCATCTAGACTTTAAATATTTTAAGTTGTACATTCTGGCAAATTCAGCACATTCCATGTAAGTATGGTAGTTTAGATTTCTCTCGACGTACTCTAAGCATATTTTCGTCAGCTCCGCTACGTTGAATTTGATCGAAACTTTGATCACATCGCTCGCCTCACGAATAGACTTGAGATGGATGTCTTTACAGTAAATAAACCTAGAACGTATGACACGATAAAATTTGAACCGTTTCATATATAAATTATTTATACCTCAGGAATTGTTCGAAAGCTATGGGATTTGCTGCTGTTATGTTTAGGACAGCTTCACCCGGGACTCGTAGACACTCTGCTCGTAGTTCTTCTTCCAAAACATCGCTCGACATGCTCAATATAAGCTTGTGAGCGTTAAAACTCTGAAAATTACAATAGCTATTGTCATTTGGCTTATAAAAGGTTGTTTTTAATTGGATACCCTCGTCGCCTTGCCGTCGGACACTTTGACAGTCAGATCTGTCAAATAGTTATTGTCGAAAACATATTGCATTTTTTCATCCCATGAAAGATTTACTTTCCTCCAGTCATCCATTGTTATCTGAAAAAAATGCGGGTTTACGCATGAACAATTTGAACTCTGCTTATGTGGAATATTGCAATCAGAATTGTTTACAATTATCATTTTAATTATTACTTTCTAGAGGAAATGGAAAATTGGTAAATACTTTCAAGAAAAAAAAGGAGAACAATGCCAATTTCATAATCACAGCACTCCTTGAATCAAATTGACCTACATGGTCATTTTCAGTAATTAAAACTAATAAACCCTTTCATTTTAAGTAAAAATTAATTTATATTACCTATGCAGATATTGGTTGGATTTTGGTCTGCGAGTCGGTGAACGCATCACCTTCAGGGCTCAAATTGTTTGTTTTTCGTGTAGATGTATCATTCTTGTGTGTCGTGTTGAGAGTGCCAGAAACACAAGAATGACACATCTGCACGGAAAACAAACAATTTGAGCCCTGAAGATGATCTCAGTAAAGATGGAAACGTTGACATGATAAAGAAAATATTTTTCTAAAACCAGACAGCATCTCACGATCTCCAAATAATCATTGATTATCGGTCACTAAACACCACACATTTTTTAAAATATTTTTAAAAGACTAGTATAATTTGTTTTTACTTCCTTTTTAGGGATCGAATTGTTACAAGATTTCAGCAATTTTCTATGGACTTTTTTTTCAAGTTGATATTTTTTCGGTACAATTTTCTCAAATCCGATTAGTCTGTTACAACACTGGTGAAACTTTAATTTATTTAATGACTAGAAAATAGTTGAAAACCAGGCAGGTAACAATTGAATTTATTTTTTCATGCAGACCATATTGAGATACAGATTACGCTTTAATTTTTTGACAGAACCTTAAGTCGTGACGTACTTTAACTTTACTTTACGTACTTACTTTACTTTAACCTTATTCTATTAAATAAAGAAATTTAATTCTTTGCTCCTGTTGTTTGTTTAAATCAAAATGCTCTCTACGATTTTTTGTTTATTATTAATCTACAAAATTTAATGTAAAAAAATATCATCCCCATATGATCAAGATTTTTAGAAAAATTTACCATGAAATAGTTCGCACTTTCTGTCTAACATATTAAAATTAGTAATTAAAATTTTTCATATCAAGCAAATTTACTAGGAACTTTTACTTCTTCAAAGAGAGACCGAAAATTTGAAATTTTTTGGGGTATAATTTTCACAATATCCATTTGTTTTATTACAACCATTTTTGCTGTGCTAAAAGGATTTTAGAAATATGATTGATTTTTGGCAACAACCTACTACTAGTTACTATCTATTTTCACATCTATTTTTCCAAATTATTTCATTGTTTTATTAAATTTGTTTGTGTCTATTGTTCCTCAAATTAACGAAATAATCGTTTCTATATAATTTTTGGGAAAAGTTCACTATTTTTACCCATCTATTAGAACGAGCAGCTTTCTCACTAACTATTACTAGTAACAAGGGGAAGACCAGATTTGTGGGGCACGGATTTGGACCAAACTTTTATTAGTGATCTGATACTCCAAAATATCGGATGGTATCCGCCACTTCTTGTGATAGTTTCACAAAAAATTGAAAGTTGAGATTTTCATTTTTTTAAAAATATTTTTGTCTTTCTACTATCTGAAATCAACTTGGTGAATATGTCATTTTATAGCATGTTTTATTAGATTGCAATAAAAATATATCAAAGTTTATCAATAACAAAAAAGTTCCTAGAAACCAAATATTTATCAAGTAAATTAGGTCATAATTTTTTCATGAATGAAGCAGCCCTAAAGATCCCAAAATGTAAATTGTTCTTTGAATTTATATTTATCTAATTTTTGACCCCTTCAATTTTTCATATTTTTGAGAAGTCATTATCGGATTATCTGTTTGAAATGGCGATAATTCAAAAACGACTAAAATGATTTCAACGTCAAACAGACTTTTTGAAAGAAGTGGAATGTACTTAACAAGGTACTTTTTAACAACGTATGCACCATTAAAGTATGTAAGATATTTCTATTCAAAAATACTCAAAATAACTCGTTAAAAGTTAACCACGTTTTTTTCATGGAAACACAAGTTTGATGTAGTTTTAAAATGCGTTTGACTATTCCTTTTTAATTAGTTTAATTAGATGTTGAGAGAGTATGATAATTTTGCTCGACTGTTTTTTTATTAATGAATCTGTTAATTTTTCCCCTGAGCTAAGAGTACTTTATTGTCGGCAATTTTGAGCCATAAAAACGTTTGTAATGAAATAAAGTCAATCATTGTTGGTGACTTGGTGATGTGAGAGTCAGTTTGGAATCACAATGAAGGTAGTATTTTTAAAAAGTCTAGTTTTTCTCAGATTATTTTTGTAGAGATAATGCTTACTCAAATACTCAGTTGTAGTTTCTATGTAGTATTAGTCAATTAGAGGTTTTTAGGTTTTGGTAGCTGGCTTATCTTTTGTAGTAAGAAAATGGTCGATAAATTTGTTGGACATTTGTTGCAGTCAGTTTCTTGATAGTAATCAAGAATAGTCAATTCCTTAGTATCATTTCAATAAATCATTACTTTATGATATTGTGAAATGGACGCTTGTTTATTGAATTAAATTTATCTCTTATTGTTGTAGTGTAAATTCGTCTCATTGTTGATTATGCCTAGATTTTTGCACTAATTTTTGCACCAGTACATTAGTTTCGCAGTTTTACCCACGTGGAGTGTAAATGTTGCCTCATTGGCTGGTTATCTTGGTCACATTTTCTTTCATTATACTCCACAAACATCCCCGGAGTCTGTTCAGATGTGACTGAATAAAAGATAAGATTGGCTTGGATTATGACGGAACATAATCATAATAATAAGGTTTTGTGATGGCAGTTTTGCTTTGTCTCTGGAAATGTTGACTAAAAGAATCGTAAACAAATGACTGCAAGAACGTAGATAATGATCACTGTTTTTACTTTGATTTTTTGAATCTAAAAGTCAAAATTATCTTCTAGTTTATAACCTGATAAAAAGTTTAATAACTGTTCGAAAAAAGAAAATATTGCATCACATGTTCTCAAAAATGGAGAAGAGCTACAAGAGATTATTTACGTTCTATTTAACGTGTTTCCCGTTTTATTCCGTCCTCTGGCAAACTTTACATTAATGACGATGAAGTGTTTCGGTCAAGTGTTCACCGATTCTCCGACTTAACGACCGTCTTACTATTACTAAATATATACAGGTAATGCTTACCTTATTCAAAGTTTGAGAACGATATTAGTGAGAGATCGGAAATTGGAATGAAATGTTTGGAATGTCTTTCATGAGAATTTTCCCCCTGCACTTGAAGTCCGAATAAAACTTGTTGGTGTTACATGATTGCTTGAAATTAAAACAGTTTGATATTTTATATTTTTTGTTATTTCTTTACCAATTGTCCGAGTTCCATTTCGAGAATGAAAAAAGGGGGAAAAATCAAAATCAAATACTTGATTCATCTCTCGGCTTAGCTTCGCAGGAGAATATAGTTTAAAGCTTACGATTGGACCACAGCTTACAACTTAAAGGATATCGGACCTAATTTTAATTATTTATTTATGCGCTTGAACCACAAACCCTTGTAGTTGTGTGATAATAAATATATTCAATTTTAGTCAGATATACGCAAAAATGAATACAAATAGGTATATTTTATTAAAGAAAATGTTTAACAATTAATGATAATTACAAACCTAAAAACAAAAACAAATGTTTATAACAATCGCCGATTGTTTTCCTGGTAGGTATAAAAGTAAAATTGACAAAATAAAATATTAGTATCTTTATGTACTAAAGAACAAGGTAAAAACAAGTTATTTTATAATGGTTTCTTTTGATAAAGTATGGCAACTAATATAACAGTTTTTCGAATAAAAATCTTTCACAAAGTACAGCTGTTTTTTTACCGAATTTTAGTCATTAAGTATAATATTTTTGAATTTCAAATTAATAAATATAATTCTATATTTACCTCAGTTATCTATACTTCATCGACCCTGTTGGGGTCCTTCCGAGCGCTGTAAAACCTTACGGGCCCTCACAAGGGCCGGTATTGTACCCAGGAAGGTCCCAACTGTTCTGCCCTACCGGGAGGCCCTTCTCGTCTGCCTGAAAGGGGTCTTGTGCCGTAGAGCTATATAGAGAAGAGCCCTACTTTGATTGACTGCAGAGTGGAGGGCGAGAACATTCCATAAGTCGTAGTGGCATCTAGCGGTAACGTGTTATAGCTACAAGGGCCACTACATAGCTCTCCTAATGGGCGAGCCACTCAAAGCTTAAGACCGATGGTATCTTGTGGCGTGTCCTTTCAGTAAGTTACTCCCAGCCCCTAATTTGTTTTCCAGATCGGGGTCATAATCACGTCAGGGTCACCACTTTAGTGACTGGGAGTTTTGTGGCCCTGAAAAGGGCTGGTGTTGTGTAGTGAAGGCGTGACGATGAATCGAGGCCGAGACCGTGTGCGTGGCGCCGTTGGTGGTGGTCTGTGTCCATGAGTTAACCGTTGGCTGAGGTCCTGAGGCCGTGAGACTTCGTCGTGTCGACGAGTCTGCTGTCGTTGTTGCCGATGTCGGTTACATTAGTGATTGGTGAGATCCGTCGGGTTGACGAATCTGCTGTTACATTAGTGATGGTTGAGATCTCGTCGAGCTGAGGAGTCTCCTCCAGCGAGGCAGTGCCCCTACTTATATAGGGAAGAGCCCTACTCTGATTGGCTGCATCCATAAGTCGTAGTGGCATCTAGCGGTAACGTGTGGTAGCTAGAAGCGGCCACTACAGACCCTAACTTCGATTAGTTAAGTAGGCATAAGGGTGATGGAAGAATATAAAGTAACCCCCCTTTGGGAGGGTTTGGTTTTTAGGAACTGATTGATTGGGTGGTGAAATGACGTATCTGTTGATAGCACCCTGAACCCAATTTCGGTTGCTGAACGGATAAAGCCAAAGTCTGTCCCCTGGACTGCCAATACCCATGGTTGTTAATTCTCGAGATCTTCATTGTATAGTACAAAGCTGGATGGACTGCACGAAGAAGCTCAACTCTGTACACGTATATACATATGTATGTGCGTGTGCAGATTTGAACTTATATAAATCAGCAATCAGCAATCATTCCTAACACCTGATACGCGTCTTACCTGTCATACAAAAATCCTCAAGAAGCTTCTTATAAAAAGAATCCACCTTTGAAGAACAAAACATTATCCAATCTCACCAATTTTCCACCACACACACCACACCAATCCAACAATGTTACGGGGGAGGGGTGTTTTAATTGATGTGGCACAACCCTTTGACATGGTCTGTTATATGGCTTTGCTGAGGACGTTCCTTCTCCTATTTCCTTATGATCTGATTTAGTATATTGACTGCTACTTTGTCTTCTATCTTGTTACAGCGGAAGTCCCACATACCCTTCCATCATTTTTTCGCCTTATACTGTTGACCTCCCTACTTATCCCTACTCATTCATTCACACATTTCCTGATAATACTGCTGTCCTATTCTTCAATAAAGGTCCCTCCACTCACATCGCTCCCTAAAGGCTCACTTATTGAACATAGAATCTTTGCGAATAAAAATAAATGTAGACAAAAGCCAAAACATAACTTTTACCCTCCGATGTGAAAGAATTTCATCACTATAACTAAATCATATATCTATTCCTATAGCTCACTACCGTAGGTTACATCGTGCTGAATATCTACTTAAGACTGACTTGGAATCGACATACAGCCTAAAAAATCAGGAATTTCTATACGATAGCTCTCACGACTTGTTGACAAACGATCAGGAATGACGCTTCACAACAAACCACACATGTTCGAGACTATCGTTAAACCCATTTGGTCATACGGCATATCCGCGGGATTCAACCAAACATTCCAACCATTATCGCATCGAGAATCCCAATCCAAAATCCTCCAAAAAATGGTAAACTCTTCCTTATATGTATCTAATCATACAATTCACAATGACCCTAAAATTCCATTTGTGAATGATATCATGAAATCCCGATACACTAAATTCCACAAATCTCTTATATTACACCCAATTGGGCAGCGAAGCGTAGCACGTAGACCCTCATAGATGGGTCACAGGTGTGATTCTTCGCACCCTAGTGTCAAATGTAGTTTTATTTCCTAGTGTCCAGATTTTTTATAGTATAGTGGAACTATCTCAGCATTTCGTCATCTTCAAAAGCGAAATTTTCCCGAACTCATTGAATCTTCGATTATAGGAGGTTCGGTAGAACCAAGCTGTCAGTAGGAAATTTCGTTCCCAGAAAAATTAAATTGCTACAAGAATAATTTATTAGACACTCCTAAATAGCACACAAAGGATTTTTACAAATAATAATGGAAATAAAAAACTAAACATCCCCCACATTGATTTTATAAAAAAAAAAAAAAATGGCCGAATGAGTGAAATAAAAAAATCTATGCGAAATTTTTATGAATGTTTTTACATATATGCGTTTGTATTGTCAAAGAAAATATCCAGGTATAAGTTATGCTGGTGTTTCAAAGTAAGCAAATATCGATTTCATTTCACGCTACAATGAACTAAACAGACGCAATTAATATTGTTTACACAGATGAAATTCTAACCATATCTCAAAAATGAATAATATTATTAATAACAATTTAATCGATTATATATTGTATTTTTCATGTATAGTATTGTTGAAAAATTAGGGCCAGGAGAAGGACTCGAGTCGACTTCAGCCGGATAGGGTGGGCTCGAATATTGCTCGAGGAACTAATTTTACAACTATATTTTGCATAAAAAATTAAAGAAATTACATTGGTTAATAGGACAAAGTGAAACCTATAAAAAAATTAAAAAAATATTTTCCATTTGAGAAAAACTACTAAAATTAGCTAGTTTCTGTTATATTTCTAGTTTTTTTTTTCTATCTCCTCATTACATTTTCTGAGCAAATATCTTTCTACACGTTCATATTACGTCAGATTATTCAATTTCATCGGCGTGATTCTCTTATGATGCAAGATGTTTGCATCGCATACTTTTCTCCGAGATTCATACATGACTGACATTTACTAATTAGATGAAATGTATTTAATCTACTTTTTATTAAAAAACAAAAAACAACACATTAATAATACGTTGCAAGAAAATGAAGCATAAAAATTTAACCTAATTTTATACATTTCAATCAGATTTCTGTCATTTTTGACTGTGCTTAAATTCTACGTGGCGTCTTTTTTTTTTTTTTTTTTTTTTTTTTTTTGTGATATTCAGCAGGAATAGGCTTGTAGACTTTGACGTAACTCTCCCGACGCTTGTTTTTCATCTCGACCAAGGATTTAGATTAAAAGTATAAATTAAAAAAAGTATTAAAATAAGTTAATTTATCATTTAAATATTGGGTAGCAATAAAATAAGAAAAGTATGTTTTTAATATATATATTTTATATCGACAAAAGTATGTACCTTTCAGTCAAATTTGTGGGATTTTTCACTGTTCTTAAGTTCTACGTGGCCGTCATTCTCTTCTTTGTGAGATTCGACGTGGACGGGCTTGTAGACTTTGTAGTATTCTGGTACTTTGACGTAGACTGGGACTTTCTTCTCTATGGTGACCGGATAAGGTTTTTCGACGATCACTTCATAAGGTTTGGGCACTTAGACTTTGTATGGCTTCTCGACCGGGACTTTGACTTCAACGGGTACTTTCTTCTCGACGTAATAGGGCACTTTTTTCTCGACGGTGACCGGCACGTCATAAGGTTTGGGGACGTCATAGTAGACTTTCACTGGTACAGGGACTTCTTTGTACTCGGGGACTTTGACCTCCTTGACAACTTCATAGGGCACTGGTTTCTCGACGGCACTGGGTGAGGTACTTCGACTTTGACCGGACACGGACGATTTTCTCGACAGGGCACGGTTCTGGGACGTACACTTTGACTTCGACTGGGACTTTCTTCTCAATGGTGTAAGGAACAGGCTTTTCTACTTCATAAGGCACTGGATGATCGACGTGGACGTGGACCGGGTACTTCTCTTCCTTTTCGACCTTAACCGGGTACGGAACTTTTTCCTCCTTGGTCACGTATATCGTCCTATGCTGATTGATTTCATGGTAGCTCTTGTGACTTTCCGCCGAAGCCAACAGGACCAAAGCTAATGAGAGAAAAACTGCAACTGTTTTCATCTCGAACTGAACTGATGAACAATACTCTACCGCCTGGCTTTTATAATAAAAATTACATAATTTTTTGTCAATACACAGAGTGGTAATCTAATTCAAATACCAATCTCATAATACAGTAAAACGTCCATTATCCGGAAATGCAATTATCTGGGCCCGGATTTCCGTATAAGAATACTATGTATGCAGGTGTATATGAGAACACCAACTTTTCTCTCGTTTCAATGAAAATCACACCGGTTAG